ACGTCCTGATTGACTTTATGTCATAGAATGTTGATGGTTTGTGTGGTAGGTACTGTGGTGAAGAGGGAAGTCATGTCCAAACTGCTTAGTTTCTTGTTTCAGATGGAAAGGTTTCAGATGCAGTTGAGAAGGTCGCCTGAATGCTTAAGATCAGTGGGGCTGATGGTACCCAGAAGGCAGGAAAGACATTTGGCAAGAACTCCAGCTAGTTTGTGTGGTGCATTGCCTATACCTGATGAGACTGGTCTGAGAGGATTATTATGTTTCTGGGTCTTGGGTAAACCATATGTGTGTGCTGGTTTAGGGTTGCTGGGTAACAAGTACAGAAGTTTCTTCCCTTCACTAGTGTGTTTCAGTATTTGAATGAACCCATCAACACACAACAGATTTCCTATATAAAACCAGACAAATACTGAAATGCACTAGTGCAGGGAAGAAACTTCTGTACTTGATACCCAGGAACCCTAAACCAGCACACATGTATGGTTTACCCAAGACTCAAACATAATATTCCTCTCGGACCAATCACATCAGGTATAGGCAGTGCACCACACAAACTAGCTGGAGTTCTTGCCAAACATCTTTCCTGCCTTCTGGGCACCATCAGCCCTGCTCATCTCAAGCATTCAGGCAACCTTCTCAACTACATTTGAAACCTTTCTATCTGACACAAGGAACTAAGCAGTTTGGACATGACTTCCCTCTTCACCAAAATACCTACCACACAAACCATCGACGTTCTATACCTCTGATATACCTTTGAAGAATTTCGAGAGTATATCTACTCTCTGAGCCCGGCCATGGGCCAGGCTCATCTAGTGCTCGCCTGGTCAACCAGGCTGTTGGTGCTGGAGGCCCGCTGCCCCACATATCTATCACAGCCTGGTTGATCTGGCACCTGGTGAAGATACTTGTCTAGTTTCCTCTTGAAGGCTTCAACACTTGTTCCAGCAGTGTTTGATATCTTCTGGTAAGATGTTGAAAAGTCTTGGACCCCGGATGTTGATACAGTGTTCCCTTATTGTCCCCATCACACCCCTGCTCCTCAATGGGTTTATTTTACACTTCCTCCCATATCTCTCACTCCAGTATGTTGTTATGGCAGTGTGCAGATTTGGGACCAAGCCCTCAAGTACCTTCCAGGTATATATTATCATGTACCTCTCTCTCCTCCGCTCCAATGAGTACATGTTCATGACTTGCAGGCGTTCCCAGTAGTTTAGGTGCTTTACTGGCTCAATGTGAGCCGTAAACGATCTCTGCATTTGTTCAAACTCTGATATTTCTCCTGCGCTGAACGGGGCCATCAGCACTGAGCAATATTCTAAGTGAGGGAGCACTAGCGATTTGAAGAGTGTCACCATCGGCATTGTTTCCCTTGTTTTGAAAGTTCTCAATACCCACCCAGTCATCTTCCTGATGTAAAGTCAATCAGGACCTTAATCTTCCTCTATCTCCCAGAGACTTTGTTGACCTGATTGAATTCTGCGTTAATTTCAACTGTTTTTCTTTCAATAACAGGCTCTACAAACAAACCTATGGCATGGGAATAGGGTCCCCCACCAGTGCAGTCTTAGCCAACTTGTACATGGAACACCTAGAGGCTGAACACTTCGCGATCATCATCCCCTCAAGCATTACTTGGTTACGTCACGTGGACGAAGTCCTCGTAATAACTCGCAAATGTTTTGATGTACGGAATCCTCAGGCAAAGCTCAACGCAGTTAAAATGGCAATCCAGTTTACACCAGAAGAGTCCAATGACAAGCTACCTTTTCTAGACGTCTTCATCCACAAACTAGATAACACTAAGATTTCAAGTTTACCAGAAACCTATAAATAAAAATGATCTCATACACTTCTATTCCAGTCAAGATACTAGGACCAAAAGAGGCATCATCATCAGATTTTTCCCAAGAGCATACCGAATTTGTAGCCGAGTTTCTTGATGAGGAATGTACATACATTCACCAAAAATTCAATTATTTATATTTTCCTTCCTTTTTCATCAGAGACTGCAAGAAAAGAGCTCTTCAGATAATTAGTTCTCCAAGCACCAACACAACTCTTAACAGTTATAATTCTTCCCAACAGCCAGGTTGCACTAAATGTTTCTAAAGTACTAACACAAGCTAACACTAGAGTCACCATCGCATCCAGCACTTCAATAAAGGATCTAACCAGGATAAAATCCAAGCACCATGAACCAGTCAATGCAGGGGTTAACACTATGCCCTGTGGAGGCTGCGACAGGATTTATGTAGGCGAAACAGCAAGGAACCTTGAAACATGCCTCAATGAACACATTAATGCATGTTGGACTGATAACTTGAACAACGCCTGCATACAACATCGAAATTCCACCAATCATCTCATGAAATTCAGGGACACCAGATTGGTGATCAAAGAACCTAATTTCCGCAGACGCAAGTGCCTTGAATCAGCATTAATCGCGGTTTCTAACACAATTAAACAAAACAAAGGCAGCTTCGTCTCTGAGGTCTTAGTGAGAATCCTCCTGAAAACAGAAAACCCTGCCATCACAGTCTTTGCTGCTAATACTACACAAGCTCATTACAGAGGTGGAACACTGAAATAGACCTTCTCAAATCCAACCGCCAAGATTTATCTAAACTAACTTTTATGCTACCCAAGTAACAGCTTTTATAATCTTTTACTCATACCTGGAGGGAGGAGTCTACCTGGAGGAAATTCCAGGGATCAACATCCCCGCGGCCCGGTCCACGACCAGGCCTCCTGTGCATTGTTCTACAATATTGTATTACTACTACTACTACTACTACTACTACTACTACCACCACCACCACTAACATTACACCTCATTGTAAGCCTATATATTATATATACCCTCTGCATCCATGTATTGTTTGTAACGGCTTGATAAAGCTCCTGTAGAGCTAAACGTTGCCACAATAAAATTTCACGTTAGTTGTATCTGTGTCCTTTTACTTTCTGATTATGTACTGCGTGCTACAGGATTTGTTTTATATGGTGCACACTAATCACAGATTCATTCTCTCATATCTAGGCCCAAATTTACCATTCACAGCTTATCTGAGTGAGCTGAGCTCATGGCATAGAACTACAGCTTGGACCCAGGCTTCAAAGCCATAGAACTATGGGACTGACCCTCAAAGGGTTAATAAAATATGTGGACATGCTGAATTAAAGGAACAAAAATTTTGTTGGCTCATTCTAACATGCAACATCACATTACATTATGGATAAATATCATGAATACTGTCTATATCATTTCCTTTAACCTTAATTTTTTCTTTTACAGTTTGAAATTCATCAAATTTCATAAATAATTCCACTGAACCCTGAACTAAATTTATATATGGTTGTCTGAATATAATACCATATAGTGGAAGGAAGAGAGATAATACATGTGTTATCTGAGAATTTTCTAGATGAAAAAAAAAAGAAGGCAAGAAGCAAATATATTTATAATTTTAATGTAAGTGTTTTTATCATATTTTGATACTGGCAGATTATATCAGCCTCTTAATTGTGTGCAATGCACTAGTGCATTTGTGGTAACTGTGTGTCTGATATACTAGTGTGCACAATTTTTTGTGCCTTCAAATGCACTACCTGCCAACATTTTTGACCTCAGCACAACCTCTGAATGCCTCTAAAGAAATCTAAGACCAGACAAGTTCATGGAAAGCATCATGGGTAACACTGCCTAAATAGAATAAGTAAATACTGAAACCAGGACCTGTTGTTCCATCACCAGCAACAGGGTGGATCTGGCAGAAAGATGCTTAAGTCATTCCAAATTTATTACACTTCATGATACTAATAGTGTAATTCAGTCAAAAAGCAACCTATGTAGATTTAGCCTAAGATAACCTAATATAATCAAAACATGTGACTATATTTACATTTTTTTATGAGCATTACACCTTGAAACAATTGTGATATCATTAGATACCATAGTAAATATGTGTTTTACAGTAGTTGTGAGGGCACACAAGTGTTATGGACAAACAGAAATTACATTATGTTTATATAACCCAGGATATTACCTCACCCTTACTTTTTTTTTAACACACTGGCCATCTCCCACTGAGGTAGGTGTGCCAAAAAAGAAACATTTTCACCATCATTCACTCTATTACTGTCTTGCCAGAGGCACACAGATACCATGTTTAGATGCCCCTTCAAACTTTAAATATCCCCACCCCTCCTTCAAAGTGAAGGCATTGTACTTCCCACCTTCACAGTATAGAAAAATATAGTGAAATAACAAATAGCTGACAAACTAGGTATTTAAAATTCACAGAGTGAATCTTATTATTAGATATTTCCCCTATTTAGAATAAAAAATATTTTAATAAAAATGTTTGCTGTGCTATGTGTATTTTCTTTGGAAAATATTAGAGAATCAAATTCCCAGTCTACACACTGCCACATGCACTTATTGGAGTAAGACATTCAGGAAGAAATTTAGAATAAACACTGTGAAAAGCAAGAGTGTCATCGTAAGTACAATTAGAAATCTGCGTCAAAATCCACAGTCCAAAGTTCTTCATACTACTACCAGCAGATACACTACAGCTAATATTGGGAGAGAAAACTGGACCAGTTCCTTCGAGAAGCTCAAAATAAGCAAGATTGTGATGGCTATGTATGCCTGCAAGCTATTAGTATCAACAGCCAGGTTACTTAGGCAGTCAACCAAGAAGTCAGGCATTAGGCCAGGTTTATCTACAGGAGTAGATAAACCTTTGCAAATGATCATACGTATAGCACAGTTATAACTGACTGCCTCGCTTATAGATGCAAATCCATTTCTAAACTTCCTTCTGAAAGCTAATAAAAAGACCATCATGACTATTAAGTTTCCAGCTTTCACTGGCAAGACACTAGACTGAAAGGAATGGAAAGTAAATTAAAGAAAATGAGAAAAAAGAATAGAAATATGATTACAGTACAATAAATAAATGGCTTATTAAAAGAAAATATCTTACCTGAACATAGATCCAAGACCTTTAAAAAGACCTGGTTTCTTTTTGCCAACTTTCTTGTGTTTGTCCTCAGCAGCAGAATTTACTGATGACTGTCGACTGTTACCCCTACCAAATCCTGAGCCACTTGATTCAGATTCCTCTTCTGCTACTAAACAGGCAGTGATTGTCAGGTATTTTATCCTTGGTTAAATATATTTGTTTAACTCAATGGCAATCTCCTGCCAAGGCAGGAAGACAGCTGTTGAGCTAAATTATTAAGATATTTATAACATAAGACACAAATACATAAACATGAATTTTTGGGGATTTTGTTACAGGAACGTAAGCTGGTGGACATACGGAAAATTGAATGCACTGCACTGAAGTTGATGAGGGAACAGGAAAGTCTCATTGAACAATAGCCATCTCACCGACAAGTGCCACTATTATTAAACTGCACTGTACTACATTGGAAAATATACGAAGGCGGATAAAACACTTGGAGTGTAAAAAAAATCTTATCAAACAGTTCAGTTTTCAATCAGTATAATCCTGTAGGTATATCAAATATATTAAGCTACTGTGACTGTCACAGAAATAAAGAATGGATTGAAAGATTGCATTTATTTAGATTTTAAGAAAGCTTTTAGCAGTTGCCATGAAATACTAATCTGGAAGCTACAAAATGTAAGGAAGGTAAAAGACAAACTACTTTATTCTGAATATTTCTTAAAGGACTAAAAGGAATAAACTTACAAGAAAAATTTGTTGTACAAGCCATGTACTGTAGAGGACTTATCTTTTTTTTTTTTAGCACAATGGCCAACTTCCACCAAGGCAGGGTCACCCAAAAAAGGAGAAACAATTTCACCATCACTCACTCACTCACTCACTCTATCCCTGTCTTACCAGAGGCACACCAATACTACAGTTTAGATGCCCCTCCAAACTGTAACATTCCCTCCCCTCCTTCAGAGTGCAGGAGGCAGCAGGCAGCAGGCACTGTACTTCCCACCTCCAGAACTCAAGTCAGGCTAACATTCCAACAGCATATCAAATCATAATAAACCACTTGCTGCCACTCACTCCTATCACTCACACACACACCTGTTCTCCTTTTACACTGTCACCACTTTCTTAACCTCTCTTTTCCCCTCCAAATACTCCACCCTCTTTATCACTCTTGCTTGTAAAAACCTCTCATATGCTAACTTTTTCTCTCTTTACCTCATCATTCCACAAATCTTTCCTCTTCTTTCCTGCACCCATCTTCCCATATCCACAAACTTATGCTGCACCCTCTAACACTGCATTCTTAAATGTACCTCATACCTCTTCATCCTCTTCCTCATCATCAATACAGGAGAGTCCCAATTATATGACAGGTTAGGATCCAGGCTACCACCATAAAGTAAATACTCACGGTGACCCAAAAAAGAAAGAAAATCCCCAAAAAGAAAATACTTTCATCATCATTCAACACTTTCACCTTACGCACACATAATCACTGTTTTTGCAGAGGTGCTCAGAATGTAACAGTTTAGAAGCATATACGGATAAAGATACACAACACATCCCTCCAAACTGCCAATATCCCAAACCCCTCCTTTAAAGTGCAGGCATTGTACTTCCCATTTCCAGCACTCAAGTCCGGCTATATAAAAATAACCGGTTTTCCTGAATCCCTTCACTAAATATTACCCTGCTCACACTCCAACAGATCGTCAGGTCCCAAATACCATTCGTCTCCATTCACTCCTATCTAGCAAACTCTCTCACACTTGCTGGAAGTCCAAGTCCCTCGCCCACAAAACCTCCTTTACCCCCTCCCTCCAACCTTTTCGAGGATGACCCCTACCCTGCCTTCCTTCCCCTACAGATTTATACACTCTCCATGTCATTCTACTTTGATGCATTCTCTCTGACCAAACCACCTCAACAACCCCTCTTCAGCCCTCTGACTAATACTTTCATTAACTCTACACCTTCTCCTAATTTCCACACTCCAAATTTTCTGCATAATATTTACACCACACATCGCCCTTAGACAGGACATCTCCACTGCCTCCAACCTTCTCCTAGCTGCTGCATTTACAACCATATAAGAGTGTTGGTACCACTATACTTACATTCCCTTCTTTGCCTCCATAGATAACGTTTTTTGCCTCCACATATACCTCAACGCACCACTCACCTTTTTTCCTTCATTAATTCTATGATTAACCTCATCCTTCATAAATCCATCCACTGACACGTCAACTCCCAAATATCTGAAAACATTCACTTCTACCATATACCTCCTTTCCAATATGATATCCAATTTTTCTTTATCTAAATCATTTGATACCCTCATCACCTTACTCTTTTCTATGTTCACTTTCACCTTTCTACCTTTACACACTCTCCCAAACTCGTACACTAACCTTTGCAATTTCTCTTTAGAATCTCCCATAAGCACAGTATCATCGGCAAAAAGTAACTGTGTCAATTCTCATTTTGTATTTAATTCCCCATAGTTTAATCCTACCCCTCTCCTGAACACCCTAGCATTTACTTCTTTCATAACCCCATTTATAAATATATTAAACAACCATGGTGACATTACACATCCCTAAGACCTACTTTTACCGGGAAGTAGTCTCCCTCTCTTCTACACACCCTAACCTGAGCCTCACTATCCTCATAAAAACTCTTTACAGCATTTAGTAACTTACCACCTATTCCATATACTTGCAACATCTGCCACATTGCTCCCCTATCCACTCTATCGTATGCCTTTTCTAAATCCATAAATCCAATAAAAACTTCCTTACCTTTATGTAAATACTGTTCACATATATGCTTCAATGTAAACACTTGATCTACACATCCCCTATCCACTCTAAAACCTCCTTACTCATCCGCAATCCTACATTCTGTCTTACCTCTAATTCTTTCAATAATAACCCTACCGTACATATTTCCTGGTATACTCAGTAAACTAATTCCTCTATAATTTTTACATTACTATAGTTACAAAAAGAAACTTTTGTTTTTCTTTTTGGGCCACCCTGCTTCAGTGGGATATGGCCAGTTTGTTGAAAACAGAAAGAAGCAGCAGCTGGACTTGAGTACTGGAAATGAGAAGTACAATGCTTACACTTTAAAGGAGAAGTTTGGGATATTGGCAGTTTGGAGGGGTGTTATATATCTTTATACATGCTTCTAAACTGTTGTATCTGGGCGTCTCTGCAAAGACAGTGATTATATGTGTGTGAGGCGAAAATATTGAATGATGATGAAAGTGTTTTCTTATTGGGGATTTTCTTTCTTTTTGTGTCACCCTGCCTTGGTGGGAGACGGCTGACTTGTTAAGGAAAAAAAAAATTAATCTGTTCCAGACACCCAAAAATATTAACAAAAAATAATTTTTGTAAAGATTAATTATCGTTTTACATACATAGAACAATGAGAACTAAATAAAATAAATACATGAACAATTAAATCACTATTACATACCTCTACTGTAGACTCTTGTTGGTTTATGGAAGATAGGGAGGAGAGAGAGATAGAGTGAGATAGAGAGAGAGAGAGGATTTATTGTTTGCAAAGGGAATCCCACTCCGTAAGGACTTTAGGTAACAAGTCCCTCTCTGGGGTTACTTCCCTTCTTTGTCTTTTAATGCCACTAGGACCAGCTTGAGAGTCACTGGACCCCTGTCACATAAAAAATCTGTCAAGAGAGCTCTGTTTCTGGCATCTCTAAGATTTCCCTGAAGTGGGACAAAGTTTAGTTACTGAACATGTTGCAGACATGGCTTATTTCAGCTTGGTCAGGGTGATATTTTTCAACAAAACTTTGAAACTCATTCCACGTTGCACATGTCCTTAATCACTGAAGAAGGCACCTTCTCTCCTCTCTCTTCCTCCTCCTCTGAAGCAATTTCCTCAGCTGCAGTCTGTTGCTGTTCCAGATGAAGGTCTTACAGCCCATCAGTGGTTAGCTCTTCCCTGTGGTCCTCCAACTCTTCCACATCCTTGCCACTATCCTCCAACCCCATGGACTTCCTCAAAGACACAATAGATTCCACAACAGGTGTAGGGTCCTCAGGGTCAGCCCCAAACCCTTCAAAATCTCTCTCTTGGACACAATCTGGCCACAATTTTCTCCAAGCAGAGTTCAAAGTCCTGGAAGTCACTCCCTGTCACGCCTTACCTATAAGGCTTATGCAATGGAGGATACTGAAGTGATTCCTCCAGAACTCTCTTAGGATCAACTGAGTGTCTGAGTCATTTCAAAGCACCTTTAAAACACTGCTTTTGTGTAGAGTTTTTTGAAGTTAGAAATGACCTGCTGGTCCATGGGCTGAATGAGAGGAGTGGTGTTAGGAGGCAAGAACTTCACTGTTATAAAATGCAAGTCCCTAAACAACTGATCTTCCAAGTCTGGAGGATGAGCAGGAGCATTGTCCAGTACCAGGAGGCACTTTAGTGGCAATTTACATTCCAGGAGGTATTTTTTCACACTGGGACCAAACACATCATTGGCCCACTCTTTGAAAATGTGCTTTGTGACCCATGCCTTATTATTAGCTTTCCACAGCACACACAATCTATTTGTGATGATACTGTTTTTCTTGAACACACTGAGATTTTCAGAGTGATACACCAGTAAAGGCTTCACTTTGAAATCCCCACTAGCATTACCACAGAACAAAAGAGTAAGCCTGTCTTTCATAGGCTTGTGTCCTGGCAGTATCTTTTCCTCCTGCATAATGTAGATCCTCTTCGGCACTTTCTTCCAAAAGATGCGTTTCATCACAACTGAACACTTGTTGGGGAAGGAATCCTTCAGCCTCTACATAGTCCTTGAATTCCTGTACAAATTTTTCAGCTGCACATTTGTCAGAACTTGCAGCCTCCCCATGCTTTACCACACTGTGTATGCCACTACACTTCTTAAATCTCTAAAACCAGCCTTTGTTGGCCCTAAATTCACTAACAGCAGCACTTGTTCCAGGCATTTTCTTTACAAGATCCACATGCAACTGCCTTGCCTTCTCACAAATAATTAACTCCACAACACTATCTCCCACTAATTGTTTTTTGGTGATCCACAACAACAATAATTTTTCCTTTCTTCTATTATCATTGACCTTTCTTTGGTTAGCACATTTACTCCTTTCACAACATTAGCTTCCTTGATTTCTATTTTCTTTGCCAGGATAGAAGTGATTGTTGATTTGTTTTTCCCATACATCCTGGCACTCTCATACTTTTCAACAACTTCTTTTTAAAGTTCCATAGTGTTTCTCACTTTCTTTACCAAAGGAACTTTACTAGGATCTTTCTTTGGGGCCATGGTTACTCATTTCGCAGTCGCACTTAATGGATAACCACGAAAAACAATGGATTATAGAGAAATGTTTGGATGAATGAGCAGAAGCTTCCTCACTCACCCAGAGACAAACCCAGACTGACGCACGAGCAGCTGGCAGCGGTGGGTTGACGCATCCCATATGGCAGATAAGCGAAATAACAGCCGATAACCAGAAGCCGAAAAACCGGCCGATAAGCGAGTTGGCCGATAAGCGAGTTGGCCGATAAGTGGAACGGATGATAACCGAGGGTCCACTGTACTTGAATTTATTCATTTATATTCCCTCTTTGCCTTCCATAACTGATCATTCAACATCACCACCACTGCTTCCTCAGCTTTAACTTTATCAGAGACACCCGACTTAATCCCATTGATTTCTCCCCACTGAAAATCTCCTACCCCCTCATCTCTGTTTCTCTTAGAGCCAGGACACCCAGTTTCTTTTCAGTCACAACATTCACTATCATCTCTATCTTATCATCTGCAATATCTCCACACACATTCAAACATACCAACTTTATATACAATATGCATTCAGATATAAACGACTATAAAACTTAAATCTTGAACAAACTTACGAGTTTCCATTTTACTGCGAAGGCCATTGAGTGGAACATCATACGATCGATCAACAGCAGCGCGAAAACTCTCATTGCAGCCTCGTCCCCTCGGCACTCGACCTGAGCCCATCCGATGACCCTCTTCTTCCAATGCCATCTATAAAAATTAATTCTCTTCAAAAATTTTCAAAATAATTATGAGTAACAAAAAACTTAATTAGTAATTGATTATTTAGTATTCTTAAAAAAGAATGACAGTGAAAAAGAGACAGAAAAAATGAAATTCAAACTAATAAAAATAGCCAAGAAAAAGGCAAATTTATTCAGCTTTTATACATAAATATGGATGATTCATCTTAAAAAAAAAAAACTGCCCTAAGGGAATGTAAGTGAAGGATACAGATATTATGCATATGACAAACTAAAATACAGTAACATACTGAATGAAGCAATATTCAAAAAACCTTTACATGAATGTGACAAACTCTGCCAGTATTTCTAATAAAACCTTAATCCCACTTGACTTTGAAGAAGCCACTGATAGTAATAATGTTGGCAGAATTACCGACAATTTATTTTTTAACACGTGGGCCATTTCCCACCGAGGCAGAGTGACCCAAAAGAAAGAAAAAACTTTCATTATCATTCAACACTTTCACCATCACTTAATATATGATCACTGTCTTTGCAAAGGCACCCAGATACGACAGTTTAGATAGTCACTCCAAACTGTCAATATCCTAAACCCCTCCTTTAAAGTGCAGGTATTGTACTTCCCATTTCCAGGACTCAAGTCTGGCTAACCGGTTTCCCTGAATCCCTTCACAAAATATTATGCTGCTCACACTCCAACAGCTCACTGGGTCCCAAACACCATTTGTCTCCATTCACTTCTATTTAACACGGTCATGCACTCTTGCTGCGTGGTAAAAGGACATGTGCAACTAATGTGACATTTTACTGTGGCAAAATTTCACTCTCCAGGAGCTTTATAGTGTTTGTAACAGCCTGACACAGCTCCTGGAGAGCAAAATGTTGCCACAATAAAATGTCATATTAGTTACACTTGTGTCCTTTACCTAGACCACTGATAGCACGCCAATGTACTTTTCCTTGCCTCACACAATTTCCTTTCTCAGTTGTAACTATCAAATGCATTTATCTTTGATATCTAGTAGTTTGGTTTAGGGGTGGTGGGTGCTTATTTGTTTGGTATAATTTGATCAGAAATATGGATTTTTAAAGTCCTATTGTTTTGGAGAGATGTTCAGACATTTTTTGACTCTTAATTGTCTTTAGCTCAAATATAAAGATTTTTTCTTAACTCAACAGCCATACTCACTTATACACACAAAAAACTGCAACAAAATGATATGACAAAAAATGCCCATCTGATGCCTGGTTGCATTGAAACTCATACAAAAGAGTGTATTGCACAACATAATCTATGCTGCTGCCATATTTCACCCAGAAAGTGTGTAAAAATTTGAGTTTGGTAACTTTTTGATAGCACCTCATACAAGGAATTGCGAATAAAGCCCTTGCTATCTTCAAGAGGGCGCTTGATAAAGTTCCTGATAAGTTTAGATTTAGAAAGGATATATGAAAGTATTGGTTTGGAAATAGGGTAGTTGATGAGCGGAACAGTCTGCCTAGTAGGGTTACTGAAGCTAAAATATTGGGAAGTTTCAAATTTAGGTTGGATAAATACATGGGGAATCAAATTCAAAATGGGAATTGACACAGTTACTTTTTGCTGATGATACTGTGCTTATGGGAGATTCTAAAGAAAAATTACAAAGGTTAGTGGATGAGTTTGAGAATGTGTGTAAAGGTAGAAAGTTGAAAGTGAACATAGAAAAGAGTAAGGTGATGAGGGTATCAAATGATTTAGATAAAGAAAAATTGGATATCAAATTGGGGAGGAGGAGTATGGAAGAAGTGAATGTTTTCAGATACTTGGGAGTTGACGTGTCGGCGGATGGATTTATGAAGGATGAGGTTAATCATAGAATTGATGAGGGAAAAAAGGTGAGTGGTGCGTTGAGGTATATGTGGAGTCAAAAAACGTTATCTATGGAGGCAAAGAAGGGAATGTATGAAAGTATAGTAGTACCAACACTCTTATATGGATGTGAAGCTTGGGTGGTAAATGCAGCAGCGAGGAGACGGTTGGAGGCAGTGGAGATGTCCTGTCTAAGGGCAATGTGTGGTGTAAATATTATGCAGAAAATTCGGAGTGTGGAAATTAGGAGAAGGTGTGGAGTTAATAAAAGCATTAGTCAGAGGGCAGAAGAGGGGTTGTTGAGGTGGTTTGGTCATTTAGAGAGAATGGATCAAAGTAGAATGACATGGAAAGCATATAAATCTATAGGGGAAGGAAAGAGGGGTAGGGGTCGTCCTCGAAAGGGTTGGAAAGAGGGGGTAAAGGAGGTTTTGTGGGTGAGGGGCTTGGACTTCCAGCAAGCGTGCGTGAGCGTGTTAGATAGGAGTGAATGGAGACGAATGATACTTGGGACCTGACGATCTGTTGGAGTGTGAGCAGGGTAATATTTAGTGAAGGGATTCAGGGAAACCGGTTATTTTCATATAGTCGGACTTGAGTCCTGGAAATGGGAAGTACAATGCCTGCACTTTAAAGGAGGGGTTTGGGATATTGGCAGTTTGGAGGGATATGTTGTGTATCTCTATACATATATGCTTCTAAACTGTTGTATTCTGAGCACCTCTGCAAAAGCAGTGATAATGTGTGAGTGTGGTGAAAGTGTTGAATGATGATGAAAGTATTTTCTTTTTGGGGATTTTCTTTCTTTTTTTTTTTTGGGTCACCCTGCCTCGGTGGGAGACGGCCGACTTGTTGGAAAAAAAAAAAAAAAAAAAAAAAAAAAAAAAAAAAAAAATACATGAGTAAGAGGGGTTGGATTTGAGTGGGACTTGTACACGAGTAAAATTGATTTATCATAGCTTATTGTTTGGGTAGCGCTGAAAATGGGTTTGGCAAATATTCTATTAGTGGGATGGATTTGTGTAGGACATGCCTAGTATGGGCCAACAGGGCTGGTGCAGTGTTCCTCCTTTCTTATGTTCTTATGAAGTTAGTCTCTAATCAGCTGGACTGTGGTGCCTATGCTGAACTGTATGCAGCTAGCATGAACAGCTCTACTGATCAGGCTGTCATCCAGAAGGCCTGGTCTGGGACCAGGCCGCAGTGAGCAATGACCTCCGAAATTGATTACAAATAACACAACCAAGCGACAAAAAAAAAAAAAAGACTCATTGGATGGAGCTCTACCTGGCCTAGGGTCTGTCTTATGTGGTCTGGATTACTGAGCACTAACTGTGTAATGCAGAAATTTTGAATAACATAGCTTAGTAATAGTAAAGCAAAATACAACACTGATGCAAATGTTACAAAAACATGAGTAAAAGATTATGATACTTTACTTCATGTTAAAGGTATAACAATGAAAGCAATTCTTACTGACATAAATACTAACCTCTTGGACCATGGTCTGTAGAGACTCCAGGCTGGAAGACTTCTTCATGCCCAATCCTGGACCAAAATCTAATCTTGATCTCAAAGCATCTGGGAATTATTTGTATTTCTTTGTTATTTTATGAACATATTTGTCAATTAGGTAGAGGAAAACTGATTCTGCTGAAGCAAATAGATATTCAATTTTGTAATTTTTCAATTATTTACAGTATATGGATACTGTACTGAATGCTGTTAAATAATGTTAGCAACAAACACAAGACAAAATGTACATACCACAAACTCATGCAAGCACATTCTTATCATAATTAGTTTAAAGCTTTATAAAACAGATGTTACACAATATAAGCATTTGTTTTATTATTATCAAAGTGTTATATCTGGCCTAATTAAATTTGTATCAATTAACTTATAAATAATTCTGAAGGAAACCTTACTTATTAATAAGATTTAAAGTAAGGACCCAAATTGATTTAAGGATATTTGTATTAAGGATAATCAATCTTAGAAATCTAATCTGGTCAATGAATAAATAATTTGCAGAAGAGTTATCCATCATGAGTCATTTGTATAAGATACAGAAGTTTCTGAATAATGACAACTAATACCCTTTATGTAATATTGTGTCATCTACAAGAACGTTTTTTTATTTACTACTGTTGGAGATTCATAAGACTATAACTAGTATAAATTTCCCACGCTATGACTTGAAAGGAGTACATTAGCCTATAGCTTCAAATAGAGAAAAATAATTGTGAATTTTGGAAACAAAATATATTTAATGAATGTCCTTTAGATTTAACCCCTTGACTGTCGCAACCCCCAATCCTGAGGTGTCTACTGGTGTCGCAAAATTTAAAAAAAAAAAAAAAATTCTTATGAAATGATATAGATTTTCCCGATTGAAATGACACCAAAAAACGAAATTTGATGGAAAACTGACGGAATTATGCTCTCGCGAAGTTAGCGACCTCGGCGCTGTTTACAAATCGGCGATTTCGCCCACTTTGAGCCCTATTTTCGGCTAATTCCGTTGTTCCAGTCGCCCAAACTCATAGCTATTTCTTTAGAACTCCATTTTTTCTATCGATTGAGTACAAGAAACTGCCCATTTACCAATTTCAACTACCTAATAATGTGGTCAGAAATTTGCAATTTGGCCAATTTCACGAAAACTAAAAAATATGACAATTTCAAAATAAGGTCCAGAATGAACAATGCAGACATTCCTGGCTCTAAAGTAACATTTTCTTTGTTCATCAGTCATGTCTCCAGGCCCCTCTGATATTGCTCTTGCTTTCTATTTTGAATTTTTATTCAAACAAAAAATAGAAGACTTACTATTATGCAGACTACTGCAATACTGTAATAATTGTATAAATAACATCAACCCATTCATGACTGCATATTAGAATGGCTAGTTGGACATTTATTGGACAATGGCATCATTTGTTTACTTTTGAACATTGGCAAAAATCAAACATTTCCCCTACTTTGAGCTCCATTTCTAGGTTCTTTTTATAGTAAAATCAATCAAAATCACCTCTATTTCTATAATATGTTTTCCATTCTATCAAATGAGATCAAGAAAACGAGAATACAACCATAAATATTATATGAAAATAGACCACAAAGTCGGCATTTTAATTAAAAAAAAAGGTCGGAGTTTTTTGTTTCTCATTATGCACTGCGTGCTCCAGGATTTTTTTTATATGGTGCACACTGACCACACAGACCCATTCTCTCACATGTGGGCCTACCAGCTTTCTCCTGCTTGATTTGAAGCCGCTAGAATTTATGAGTATATATACGTCAAACACGGTACCTCGTAAGACGTATATATACAGCCGCGATAGTCAAAGGGTTAAAAACTACACATTCTTCTTAGTCACTTAGATAATATGGCACTAGTATAATCTAGTTGAAGATTAAAAGTCACAATAGTATGGCTGGAACAAGTCGAAGTTACCCACAAACTGGAAACAAGTCTTCAAATTGATTTCAGTTGGTCCAGGACCATTATCAAGTCATGACTTGATAATGGTCCAGGACTGACCAAAACAATGTCCCAATTTTTATCTCCAATTTGTGAGTTAACTGTGAATAATACAATTCTCCCCATATACGGGTTGTCACATTTAAGTACCGTATTAAGACGACACGGCTGGATCTGAATATTTAATTAAAGTTCCTTTTTCATTCCGGCGAACTCTGGTTTCTTATTTCAAAAATATTTTAATTCTATTGCCCATGATATAAACTTCATGTTAAGTTAATTTTTTAAAAATCATATGGCATGAACCAATTTCCAACTATGAGGAAGGCAGAGCCTTTAACTAATTATTAAATAAAGACACATTTCAAAAGAATTTCAAGAGGAACTACACAAAATGATTACAGTTGTATCAACATGTCCATGACCAACAGAGCCAGAAGACCCCATTCCAGATAGCACCAATTCCCAACATTTACCCTGTGATGAAATGTGCTCATGCGAAGAAGGATGGTGTGCATGATTGGTGCGCTGGAGAGTTTGAGAGGCTAGCGATTCATCAGATGAGGCACGAACCAGCTTCCCCATCACAGGTTCCCGACTCAACAATTCTCGGTTACGGGCAGCTACACGGACAAACAATCAAGTGATTTTTAAGTTATGAATGTTTATCATATAAAAATTAGGTAGTTTAATAAGAAAAGCACTGAGTTTGTATTGTTAAAAGTACACTGGAAATACAAGCAAAGATGTTAATAATATACTGTACAGACTTCATTTATGTTACTAAATGTATTGTAAACGTATTTACAAGACATATTATTAAATTAATTAGGTTCACCTGCACAATAAAAAGTAGAGTAAAGCAAGACAAATATTATTCTTCAGACTTATCTAAATATTATACTATCAATTATTTATGATGTACAAACTTCCTTTAATGCATTGATGGAATAACAGTGCATTATGTGGTCTTGGGATGTTCAAATGCTAACAAAAGCATGATATATGCAAACAGGAGGTGTAATAATGATAAGTGGTGAAGACACTAGTGGTGGCAAAGTCTTTTATTGGTACAACATTTCATCTTTGAATGGGCTTTTTCAGATACATCTACTCCTTAAAAAAAATATATATATAGATAAACAAAAAAGGCCATTCATGGGAAAACATTACCAATGAAAAAAAACTTTCCTGCTACTAGTATTTTTCTTCCACTAATTCAAGGAAAACATGAATGGGAGAACAAGGAACTGAAGGATGTTTTGTAATTTTGTGAAGTATAATTACATCTAAAATCTATCATTCAATAAATCACAAAATAATATTTTATAGTATACCAACATACTGATGTGCCATTACTTATATAACCTAATACATTGGAAGATATATAACAGACATCACAGATAGTTACAACTACAGCATGTAACCCAGAACACAGCATGCAATTAATAAAAGCTATAAAATAAATTACACATATACTGTATAATAATATCAAGTCACAAGCCACTCACATGCAAAGAAAGAGCACAAGCAATGGATGCATCTAAGAAAAAATGATTGCATTAAGGATTAACTGTGTGGATCATGCATCACTTGCCATTCGATGAATTACTGTGTGTTTTGTAAGACAATAGCTACACCATGCACCATATTACTGAGTTGTTAGTTACCCCAGTTTGATATCATGTTGGAAAGATCCTGGCCAAAAGTGGTTCGCTGGTTCCCTTTATTGTAATGCCTTTCTAGACTGTGGGTAACTGCACTGAAAGGGCCACGAGGATACCCACACCACTGCACCTTGGGTGTTCCCCTCCCCAGGTTGCTATTCAATGGTTCAGATCCCCTTCTAAGTGAAACTCTGGTGTTTTGCAGCAATTGCTGCTTGAGCTGAGGTTTAGTACCACCTTCGGAGCTAAAAAATTTATTTGACTTTGACTTCTGCTGAACAACCAAGGATGAGCTCGCACCACTTATAGCTGAACTTGACTGTCCAGAATTAGTTGCAATGCTTTTAAATTCAGAGTCACTTTTGATTTTCTTTTTCTTTGGGGGATGAGTGTGTTGAGGCACAACAGGAGGGGGGTCAGTGGAGGAAACATCAATGCCCACCTCCCTTGACCCAGGTTTCACCTCCTCCGGAGCTCCACCTTGAGGGCAGACACCACACCAATATTACGTCTAGTACAAAAAATACTATTTTTTCTATCACTAATTATTGAATCTATGCCTTGCTTATTTTACATTTTGTCTTGGACACTTTAAAAAATTATCCAGCAGACAAAATGTATGATGTCAAGGTATACTTTAGTTACAAACCTTCAAGCTTTCCAACTGTGGTTGAATGAGTATACAATAATTTTATATTAATGATAATCTTGCAGCATCATTTAGGCAAGAAAGTGTGATACAGTACAGTTACCACTTTTGACTTAATATGAAAATGAATTTAGCATCAGTAATAAGTATTAATAACCAAACTGACAATTTTTTTTTTTAAATCTGCTATTCATCTTAACACAGTTGGAAATCTGTGAAAAAATGAGAAGGAAAAAATGAATACTAGACTAGTAAGAATTGGTTACAGATAGAAACTTCAAGATATATTTATTTCATAATTAGACCATTTGAAAAAATAAATCCAATACCACATATACTCAAGTATAAGTCAAGATTGTAAGACCAATTTTTTTTTTTTTTAGCAAAAATTGGAGGATTGACCTATTCATGCATAATACTTTGGGGGAGGGGGTAAATTCCTATAGATACTGAGGGTATACAGCACACTAGATTCCTACTTCTTAAGTATATATCTTTATATCTTATCATTATCTTATCTTTGCAGCAATGGCAAAACCACTCAGTAGCCCAATTTCACTTTAAATATAAGTACAAATAAATTTGATAATGTTCAGTAGTGCCATTTGCCCTGGTCAGACACCATTAAGAAGCTCTGGTTGGGCTCAAGAGTGCCCATAACCAAAAGTATAACAAATCCATGAATGCAAGAGAAACTTACTGTTTACAATGGCATTATAATTTATTATGTGCAACATCAAGATTATTATTCTTATAAACCTCCACCTTGACTACCTCGCATTAGTATTAAGATTAAATAAAGATTTATTAAAAAGTTAACCACTGTTATCTTGTCTAGATTTAAGTACTAGTTATTATGTACTAGGAAGAGTCTGCCCAAAATGCCCCAGCATGATAGTGGTTTTCTTAGTACTCAACAAATCAAAATTGTAATTCCACACTGTAACCTTTCCCATTCTTCCTGTTCTAAGCCCTTTCACCTATTTCTCACAAAGATCTATACACTTGGGGCCAGTGGTAATATGTAGGTCTGCAAATCAATCACAGCACCCTCAAATATGCTTTAAGTAGCATTATAATAAAAATAAAAATCCTGCCCCATGCAGTGTATAAGAAGAGCTAACCTCTGACCTAGTGTTTGAATTAAAATAGTGACTTTGGGGAGTTTTCTAAGGTTTTTCTCATTTTTTTATAGATTGTTTCTTGGTGTTAAGTGAAAGATCCGAAGGCTTACTAGCAAAATGGAGAGGATTTATGTCAGCTTCAGATTGGAAGTGACCTGAAATAGACCTCAAAGTGTGGAATTAGTGGATTTTTATTGATTTTTCTGAGGAAAGTTAGGGGACCTACTAACTTCCCCCTTCCAGTCTGCTTCAGTCACTGAGATATCCTAAACCATGATCAAGCTCTCTTGGTTGTGGTTTATTAGCCAAGAAATAGAAAAAACAAACATCTGTTTTTGTTATGATGGATTGAAAGGAGAGGGCAAGAGTTATATAAGAGACCTGAACAGAAAGGTTACTTTAGTGGCTGGAATGCCTACAATGTTTGTTTTGGACTTTTTTATAAATTATAATTTGTTGAAAATAGAATAAAATTGACAAAATTACTGAATTCTGTGAACTTTAAAAAGAATAGTTGACAAAGGACAGTTTATGATAAATGGATAGCCCAGAAGGCACACTAGGAAAATAGCCATGAATTGGTTGAGTACTGGAAATGGACTAAAATAGGGAGAAATCACTGATGAGACAAATACTCCCTAACCTTGAACTTTGCGCCTGCGTAATTCTGCAAGTATTACATCAAACTCTGCACCTTTGATCTCATTACCTTCATAAAAAATATTCTCTGCCACGGTAATAGGTAAAATTATATTATTTTTTTTAAACGGTGACACAGAAGGGGCTATCAATTTGGAGATGTCAACAGTGAAAAGGTTAAGACTAACCAATATTTTATTTCTGCTTTCAGTTCATAAATATGAACTATGAATCCTTGCTGTAATTTATTATCATAGGAAGGTAGGATGAGTACAGTATGCAAGGTTATGGAGAAGACACAGCGGGTGTCACTCTCCCCAGTTCTTAAGGTAATCATTTCCCTCAAAACTAACCATCTCTCTGTCCTCCTTGCTCACCAACCACTTATGTGTACTAGACATATATCTTATTTCTCTTTTCAGTTTATTAATATAGCTAGCATTCCACTTTTGTGAGTTCCAGTTTTGCAAGCTTTGAACATTCGCGAATGCCCACGAGGATAAAAAAAGTACAGGAAAACACTTCCCACTGCGTCCCTACTACCCTCCCTCTTACCCCCTCAACAATGTTTTCATGTGTTTTATGAATGTTCGTGGTTCAATAGGTTAAGGAAGCAGTATTGTTAGGCTAAGTAAATGCTATTATTATATTTCCCTACAATATATTTGCGCATTAAACATTCGTGAATGCTACAGTACAGTATTATTATATTTCCCTACCTCATATTTGCACACCAAACATTCGCAAGGTTCTTGATCCCCTGACTCTTGTGAATATGGAGGGTCTCCTGTATTAACCCTTTCAGGGTCAAGAGGTCCTCTCTTAAACTTGTTGTTCTCGTAGTCGAAAATTTTTTGGAAAAAAAAAAATTTTTGTTTTTCTTATGAAATAATAGAGAGTCTTTTCCCAATCATAATGACACCAAAAGTATGAAATTTGATGGAAAACTTATGGAATTATGCTCTCGCGAATTTAATGGCCTCATCGATGTTTACGCATCAGCAATTTTGCCCACATTGAGCCCTATTTTAGGCCAATTCCTGTGTACTAGTCAACAAAAATCATTACTATTTTGCTAGAACTCCATTTTTTCTATCAAACGAGTACAAGAAACCACCCATGTACCAATTTCAACTATCCAATAAAGTAGTCAGAAATTGGCAATTTTGCCAATTTCACACAAATTTCAAAAGATGCCGATTTCCAAATATTGTCCAGAATAAACAAGACAGACATTCTTGGCACTAAAATAACATTTTCTCTGTTCATTAGTCACATCCCCAGGCCCCTCTTACATTTCTTTTGCTTTCCACTTTGAATTTTTATTCTCACAAAAAATAGAAGATTTACAGTTATACAGACTACTGAATTAGTGTAGAAATGGTATAAATAATATCAGCGCACTTGTGAAAGAATATTACTCACCAGTTGATGTGTACTGAATGCATGGCATTTGTTTACTTTTGAACTTTGGCAAAAATCGAACATTTCTGCTATTTTGAGCTCAATTTCAAGGTATTTTTCATTGTGAAACCAATCAAAATCATCTAAATTTCTGTAATATGTCTTTCAGTCTATAAAATGAGACCAGGAAAACTAGAATACAACCATAAATACCATACGAAAATACAGTGCAAAGTCGCTGTTTTGAACCAAAAACACGGTCAAATTTTTTTTTCTCATTATGCACTGTGTGCTGTAGGATTTTTTTTATACTGTGCACACTGACCACATAGACCCATTCTTTCATATGTAGGCCTACCAGCTTTCTCTCGCTAGATTTAACCCTTTGACTGTTTCAGGCCCCTCTCTGAAACTGTCATTCTATGTCGCTCAATTTTTGAAAAAAAAAAAATTATTTTTTCTTATGAAATGATAGAGAATCTTTTCCCGATGGTAATGACACCAAAAGTTCGAAATTTGGTCGAAAACTCGTGGAATTATGCTCCCGCGAAGTTAGCGGTCTCGGCGACATGTGTGTATCGGCGATTTCGCCGACTTTGAGCCCAATTTTCAGCCAATTCCATTGTTCCAGTTGACCAAACTCATAGCTATTTCTTTAGAACTCCATTTTATCTATCAGCTGAGCACAAGAAACCTCCCATTTACTAATTTGGACTACCCAATATGGTGGTCAGAAATTGGCAATTTGGCCAATTTCACGCAAAATAAAAAAGATGCCAATTTCAAAATAGGGTCCAGAATAAACAAGGTAGACATTCGTGGCACTAAAATAACATATGCTCTGTTCATTAGTCACATCTCTAGGCCCCTCTTATATTATTATTGCTTTCTATTTTGATTTTTTATTCATACAAAAAAATACAAAATTTACTGTTATGCAGACGACTGCATTATTGTAAAAATGGTATAAATAATATCAGTGCACTAATGAAAGAATATTAGACTCCCCAGTTGACGTGTATTGGACGTGTGGTGTGATTTATTTACTCTTGAACATTGGTAAAAATCGAACATTTCCGCTACTTTGAGCTCAGTTTCAAGGTCGTTTTCATCGTAAAAGTAATGAAAATCATCTCTATTTCTGTAATATGTTTTCCATTTTATCAACTAAGACCATGAAAACGCGAATACAACGATAAATACTATACGAAAATACACCTCAAAGTCGGCGTTTTATTCCAAAAAAACGATCAGTTTTTTTTTTCTCATTACGCAATGTGTGCTGCAGGATTTTTTTTATGTGGTGCACACTGACCACACAGACCCATTCTCTCACATGTGGGCCTACCAGCTTTCTCCCACTTGATTTGAAGCCGCTAGAATTATTGAGTATATATACGTCAGAAACATTGGCTCGTAAGACGTATTTATACGTCGAAAACAGTCAAAGGGTTAAAGGCGCTAGAATGTACGCATACTAGTATGTCAATAACCCTGGTGCGTAAGACGTACTAGTACGTCGGAAACCCTGAAAGGGTTAAATATGAAGAGTGATTATATTGGACAATATATAAATACAGTGGTAAATAGAGTTACGAACTTAATTAGTTCCAGAAGGATGTTTGAGTGCCGATACCGAACGAATTTGTTCCTATAAGGAATAATGTAAATTAGATTAGTCTGTTTCAGACCCCCAAAAATACACTTACAAAAGCACTTACAAAAATGCACTTACATAACTGTTCGAGTTGGGAAGTGTTTGAAACTCGAGGTACCACTGTACCATAGATAATGTTTAGTTTATTAACCCTTTGACTGTCGGTGTTGCATACGTACATCTTACGAGCCAGTGTCGGTGACATATTAGTACGCCAAAATTCTTGCGGCTTTAAATCAAGCGGGAGAAAGCCGGTAGGCCCACATATGGGAGAATGGGTCTGTGTGGTCAGTGTGCGCGGTATAAAAAAAAAAACAATGCAGCACGCAGTGCATAATGAGAAAAAACTCCTACTGTGTTTTTGGATTAAAACACCCACTTTGAGGTGTATTTTTTGTATAGTATTTATTTTTTTTTTTTTTTAACAAGTCGGCCGTCTCCCACCGAGGCAGGGTATTTATGAATTTATGTATAGTATTTATTCTCGTTTTCTTGGTCTCATTTGATAGAATGGAAGACATGTTACAGAAACAGATATGATTTTCATTGATTTCACGATGAAAAGGACCTTGAAATTGAGCTCAAAGTAGCGGGAATGTTTGATTTTTGCCAATGATCAAGAGTAAACAAATGATGTCATCGTCCAATAAGTGACCAACTAACCACTCTAATATGCAGTTACAAATGGGTTGACATTATTTATACAATTATTACAATAATGCAGTAATCTGCATAACAGTAAATCTTCTACTTTTTGTGTGAATAAAAATCCAAAATAGAAAGCAACAGTAATATAAGAGGGGCCTGGAGACATGACTAATGAACAGAGAAAATGTTACTTTAGTGCCAGGAATGTCAGCATTGTTTATTCTGGACCCTACTTTGAAATTGACATCTTTTTTAATTTGCATGAAATTGGCCAAATGGCCAATTTCTGAACACTTTATTCGGTAGTTGAAATCAGTAAATGGGCGGTTTCTTGTACTCAATCGATAGAACAAATGGAGCTCTAAAGAAACAGCTATGAGTCTGGTCGACTGGAACAATGGAATTGGCCGAAAATAACGCTCAAGTGGGTGAAATCGCCGATGTGTATATATCGCCGAGATCGCTAACTTCTCAAGAGCGTAATTCTGGAAGTTTTCCATCAAATTTCATACTTTTGGTGTCATTACCATCAGGAAAAGATTATCTATCATTTCATAACAAAAATATTTTTTTTTTTTCAAATATTTTGTGACACAAGAGAGACACTTCAGGATTTGGGGTCTCGACAGTCTAAGGGTTAATGTGAGGAAGTGCTTAAAGTAACTGCTTGAGAGAGAGGGTAGCCTACCATCCCTATCCCCATACTCCCATCACTGATACTTATTATACATTGATAATTACTAATAAACAACAAAGAAAATAAATTTAATTTCTTTCTCTGTTGTGTGCAAAGGGCATGCCTAGAATGAGCCAGTAAGTCAAATGCAGTGCTCCTCTATTCTCATATAATGAGTAGGTATGTGTAAGATCTAATTAGCATGAGCAAGTAGGTCTACTCCTGGTGCTCCTTTATTCTTTTATTTATCAAGTGTTTGGGCAGACTATGTTTTTGTCGCAAATACTGTAGAGCTTTTGATTTTTTGTCACAAATACTGTAGAGTTTTTGATGTAATTTTTCAGTATATTTTCATGTACTGACTAGTTTATTTTGCTTCGGAGCCATTGGATTCCTTTTAAAGTTTCTCTAGGGCAGACTTATACATAAAATATATATATAAGTAATTTTTAGGGAAATGTCAGATGTCAACCTAAATACGCAGTTGGGTTATACTCGAGTATATAGAGTATTATTTTTTAAATAGCTACAACACTGGCTACAAGTTAATGAATACCATAACTAAAGTTAATATGGCTCTAAATGGTTAATATTACTGTAATAAAAAATGTAAGAGCAATTCCATTTTTACAAATCATTCAGGACCTCATACAATTACAGAATAAATTAATATAATTAATAATTTCAGAACTGATGTCAGATGTTTCAGAACTTTATTATAAATGAAAATTTGTGAAAATAAATATACAATTTTTCAGAGTATGTCCTGAATAATATAATGGATACTAAGAATACCAAATGGCACCATTATAAGCTTATACAGTAAATAAAACATCACACACACAAACAAGAAGGAACTACTTTCTTAACTCTTACACTGAGATTTAAAACACTACACGGGCTATTAAAAGTATTACATACAGAATTCAAAGTGAGCCACACTTATCTTGATTCTGAAGAAATAAAAGGAAGGAAACTGTGATAACACTAAAACCTCATACTCTGAGAATTCACGTAAGTGACATATTAAATCAGGAAACTAAGATGCCTCCAAAACTGCAGTATTCCCACCTGTTGAATGTCCAAGCCCCTCACACACAAAACCTCCTTTACCCCTTTTCTCCAACCTTTCCAAGGATAACCCTTAACTCTCCATTACAAATTTATACACACTCCAAGTCATCATATTTTGCTACATCCTCTCTATATGTTCAAACCACCTCTACAACCCCTCCTCAGCCCTCTGGATAAAACTTTTAGAAACTACTTCCTCCTTAAGTCCACACTAAGAATTCTCTGCATAATATTTACACCACACATTGCCCTCAGACACATCTCCACTGCCTCCAGGCTTCTCCTCGATGCAACATTCACAATCCATGCTTCACACCCACATAAGGGTATTGGTACCACTATATTCTCACATATTCCCCTCTTTGCCTCCATGGATAACATTCTTTGTCTCCACAGGTACCTCAATGCACCACCCACCTTTTTCCCTTCATCAATTCTAATGGTTAACCTCATCTTTCATACACATATCCACAAACAAGTCCACTCCCAAATATCTGAACACACTTACTTCCTCTATACTCACTCCCTCCAATCTGATATCCAATTTTTCATTACTTAACTCGTTGAATACCCTCATCACGTTGCTCTAATCTATGTTCACCTTCAGCTTCCTCCCTTTACACACCCTCTCAAAGGTCATTGTTTAACATTTTCAAGTTCCACTTACAAGAAGCTTTATTAAAGGCAAAAACATTATCATAATAAAGATTCTCCTCTTGTAATATGTCTTTTTTAACTACTTGTCCTCTTACAGCCATATTCTAAATATGGAATAAATATATAATAACCTAAAGTACTAGAATATCTCTGAAGACACCTAATACAAATAAAAAAGACATATAATACACATACCCTCTGCAGCCATCACTCCTAGTCCTTGACTGGTGGATAGTTTATCCTGGGCTAGCATAAGTTGCTTCTGCCTCTCCCTCTCTTCTCTAGTATGAGAAATAACAAGACACATGTTACCAAGTTTATGATCCACAAAATTATTCAGTGATGAAAACAGAACATTAATAATTAAAGTACTCTTAGTTAATTATAAAAAAAATACACTAGCATATCCCATACAACATGACAGTTTTGCCTCAGAAAATACAGTATATTCTGTATTGTACATAGGAATGTGTATGTATGTAAACTCAATGTATTTGCAGTGCTCCTCTTTCTTCTCCTTCGACTAACTCCTCCACTACTACTACTATACTACTACTACTACTATACTACTAATACTATACTACTACTACTATACTACTACTACTATACTACTGCTACTACTATACTACTACTACTACTATACTACTACTACTACTATACTACTGCTACTACTATACTACTACTACTACTATACTACTACTACTATACTACTATTACTATACTACTATTACTATACTACTATTACTATACTACTACTACTATACTACTACTATACTACTACTATACTACTGCTACTACTATACTACTACTACTATACTACTACTATACTACTACTACTATACTACTACTACTATATTACTACTATACTACTACTACTACTATACTACTACTATACTACTACTACAACTATACTACTACTACTATACTACTGCTACTACTATACTACTACTACTATACTACTACTACTATACTACTACTACTACTATATTACTACTATACTACTACTACTACTATACTACTACTATACTACTACTGCTATACTACTACAACTATACTACTACTATACTATGCTACTATACTACTGCTACTATACTACTATTACTATACTACTACTACTATACTACTACTATACTACTACTACTATACTACTACTATACTACTACTACTATACTACTACTATATACTATACTACTATACTACTAACTATACTATACTATACTATACTACTACTACTATACTACTACTACTATACTACTACTACTATACTACTACTACTATACTACTACTATACTACTGTCTATACTACTATACTATACTACTATATACTACTTACTATACTACTACTATACTACTACTACTATACTACTACTACAACTACTATACTACTACTACAACTACTATACTACTACTACAACTATACTACTGCTACTACTATACTACTACTACTACTATACTACTGACTACTACTATAACTACTGCTACTACTATACTACTGCTACTACTATACTACTGCTACTACTATACTACTGCTACTACTATACTACTGCTACTACTATACTACTGCTACTACTATACTACTGCTACTACTATACTACTACTACACTACTACTACTATACTACTACAATACTATACTACTACTACTACTATATACTGCTACTACTACTATACTACTGCTACTACTACTATACTACTACTACAACTACTATACTACTACTACAACTACTATACTACTGCTACTATACTACGCTACTATACTACTACTACTTACTACTACTACTATACTATACTTACTATACTACTTACTACTATACTACTACTATACTCTACTATACTACAATACTACTTATATACTACTTTATTACTATACTACTACTTACTATACTACTACTATACTACTACTACACTATACTACTACTATCTGCCTACTACTATATACTATCTACTACTACTTTACCCTTCACTCCTCCTTTCTATATTTTGTCCCACATGTACCACCACTCCCCCTACTTTCACTACCACCCCTACTACTACCTCCATTTCCAGCCTTACCTCTAAAACTACTACCTTGCTTGGTCCTGTCCCTGTCTGCTTGCCTATACATACTGGTTCCCTTTATCTTTCATGTTAGTGTGACTTTACAAATGGTCCAAGTCGGACCGAAACATCACCAGAAACTTTCTTCTATGTGCGGGTTATTTGTGCATTGTTCCAGTCATGGTATTATGTCTTTTTGTTCTTTACAGCACCATATTAAGTATCTCGAAGAGTGCTTTAATGCTTTTATTGTTTTAATTTTTAACAATATTCTGATTTAACAGAATAATGTTTAAAAATAACATTATTCCATTACATCGAGGGTTAACTGTACATTGCACATACGAATGTATGTATTATGTATGTATATAGTATGTACTATGTATAAATATATTTTGCATGCAAGAATAGATGTATGTACATAAATCCCTTTGACTTTAAAATTTTTTATTTAAATTTAGTTTGCCACATAGGTAATTTCCATAATGTACCGTACAGGGTTCTCTGACTTGAGTAATACCTTGTGTACCTAATTTTCCTTAGACTGCTGTCAAGATTCATCACTTCCCCCAAGTATGGTCCTAGACAAGATCTCCTGGTTGCTGGTCTGAACAACTAGGATGTTGCTGTTGGCTGCATGTAGCCTAATGTATGCACAACAGCCTGGCAGATCAGGAATTAATTTGAGGAATCTATCAAGTTGCCTCTTGAAGACAGCCAAAAGTTTGTTGGTAATTCCCATTATACACAAAGGAAAGGCACTGAAAAGTCTGGGACCTCTGAAATATCAAGCTCTCTCTTACTGCACTCGTCATGTACTTGCTTTCATCAACCGCCAGGGAGGTACTACCGTCCTGCCAAGTGAGTGTAAAACGAAAGCCTGTAATTGTTTTACATGATGGTAGGATTGCTGGTGTCCATTTTTCTGTCTCATAAACATGCAAGATTTCAGATACGTTTTGCTACTTCTACTTACACTTAGGTCACACTACACATGCATGTACAAGCATATAGTGGTCCCTCGCTTTTCGTAGTTCTCGGCAATCGTAAATTTCGCCAATCATAGGGGTATTTTCGTATAAACATGGACTCACTTTTCAAAGGTTGACTCGCGAATAGTAGTTCATCTGGGACGCGTACGCATGGTGTGAGCAGGGGCGGCCTCCCTACCCAGCCAGTCTGGCATTGTTTACCAGTGATTGAAGGTCCCCTCAAGTGCTCCTACGAAATATTTCATAATATTCCACTCATTTTAGTGCTTGCAATTACTAAATAAGCTACCATGGCTCCAAAGAAAGCTCCTAGTGCCAAGCCTGTGGTAAAGAAGGTGAGAAATATGTACAGTGACAAAGTCTTGGGCCATTTTAGGGAAGTGTTAAAGAGACGCTAGAAACAGAGCTCTCTCCACAGTTACTTTGCGAGACAGGACTAGAGTGACTCTCAAGGTGGTCCTAGTGGCATTAAGAAACAGAGAAGAGAAGCAACCCCAGAGAAGCAATTGGTACCTGAGGTGTTGCTGGAAGGGGATTCCCCTGCCAAACTGTAAACAATCCAATCTCTCTCCTCCTCCAGTCTCCCATACACTAAGAAGAATCTTCAATGAAGGTAAGTGTTATGCTGTTAATGTTTCATTCATCATTTCCCATTGTATTGTTTATGTACTACATGTATATTTCATGTAAAAAATTTTTTTGTTTTAATACTTCTGGGTGTCAGGAATGGATTAATTGTATTTACATTATTTCTTATGGGGAAAACTGATTCGCAAATTGTAAATTTCTTTTATAGTAGCTCCTCCAGGAACGGATTAATTACGAAAAACGAGGGACTACTGTATATATACACACCCCTCTGGGTTTTCTTTCTATTTCTTGTCCTTATTTATTTCCTCTTACCTCCATGGGGAAGTGGAATAGAATTCTTCCTCCGTAAGCCATGTGTGTTGCAAGAGGCAACTAAAATGCCAGGAGCAAAGGGCTAGTAACCCCTTCTCCTGTATATATTACTAAATGTAAATGGAGAAACTTTCGTTTTTCCTTTTGGGCCACCCGCCTCAGTGGGATACGGCCGGTGTGTTGAAAGAAAGAATAAACTTGCTTTCATATGGAGCAATTTCAGTGTGCAGGTTTGGGATCAATCCTTCCAGGATTTTCCATGTGTAAATTATGACATACCTTTCTCACCTACATTCCAAAGAGTGAATTTCAAGAGACTTAAAGCATTCCCAGTAGTTTAACCCTTAAACTGTCCAAATGTAGATCTATGTTTGCGCGCATAGCGCTCTGACCTTGATTTTCTCCATAAGAAAGCATGTAAATAAAACATAGATCTACATTCGGAGCGCTACGCGAGCGAACGTAGTTCTACGTTTGAACAGTTTAAGCGTTAATCAAATGATAATGAGCAGTGAATGTTCTCTGTACATTTTCTAGCTCAGCTGGACCAAAATGCCATCATAAATTTCATTCTATGTGCGGGTTATTTGTGCACTGTTCCTATAATGGTACTGTGCTTTTTATTCTTTTCTGACAGAATGAAAGAGAATTTTCTGAATCTAATAAGACTAAAATGAGTGGAATCTAATCAAAATTTGCAATTTTATGGCATGCTGAAGTTGGTAAAAAATTTCACTCAGAAGCATAAATGCACCAGCGATATTTACGTTTTACAATCTGACATAAAGATATTGTTTTTAAATTACTTTTAATGTTTAACACCATGCACATTAGTTTCTTACACTATTAGATGCATTTAAAGATGTTTTAGCACTTTCAACATGGGGAAATGCACTGCTCCACTTGGAATATACAGTAAAATTGTTCTTTATTCTATCTTCTTCTTTCAACAAATCAGCCGTATCCCACCGAGGCAAGGTGGCCCAAAAAGAAAAACAAAAGTTTCTCTTTTTAACCCTTTCAGGGTCGCCAGTCCCTCTCCGAGATTTGTTCTCAGTGTCACCCAAATTTCAAAAAAAAAATATTTTTTCTTCTTAAGAAAAGATAGAGAATCTTATACCGATCATAATGACACCAAAAGTATGAAATTTGATGGAAAACTTACGAAATTATGCTCTCACAAAGTTAGTGGTCTCGACGATGTTTACGCATCGGTAATTTTGCCCACTTTGAGCCCTATTTTCGGCCAATTCCTGTGTACTAGTCAACAAAAATCATAACTATTTTGCTAGAACTCCATTTTTTCTATCAAATGAGTACAAGAAATCACCCATTTACCGATTTCAACTATCCAATAAAGTGGTCAGAATTTAGCAATTTTGCCAATTTCACACAAATTTCAAAAGATGCCAATTTCCGAATAGGGTCCAGAATAAACAAGAAAGACATTCCAGGCACTAAAATAACAAGTTCTCTGTTCGTTAGTCACATCCCCAGGCCCCTCTTATATTTCTTTGGCTTTCCACTTTGAATTTTTATTCTAACAAAAATTAGAAGATTTACTGTTATGTAGACTACTGCATTAGTGTAGAAATGGTATAAATAATATCAGCGTACTTGTGAAAGAATATTAGACTCACCAGTTGACGTGTATTGGACGCTTGGTATGATTTGTTTACTTTTGAACTTTGGTAAAAATCGAACATTTCTGCTACTTTGAGCTCAATTTCAAGGTACTTTTCATTGTAAAACCAGTCAAAATCATCTCAATTTCTGTAATGTGTCTTTCATTCTATAAAATGAGACCAGGAAAACTAGAATACAACCATAAATCCCATACAAAAATGCAGTGCAAAGTTGCTGTTTTAATCCAAAAACACGGTCAAAGTTTTTTTTTCTCATTACGCACTGTGTGCTGCAGGATTTTTTTTATACTGCGCACACTGACCACATAGACCCATTCTTTCATATGTAGGCCTACCAGCTTTCTCTAACTAGATTTGAGGGCGCTAGAATATAGGCGTACTAGTACGTCAAAAACCGTGGGGCGTAAGCTGTACTAGTACGGCTGAAACCCTGAAAGGGTTAACTTTAGTAATGTATACAGGAGAAGAGGTTAGGAGCCCTTGCTCCCAACATTTTAGTCATCTCTTATAACATGCATGGCTTAAGGAGGAAGAATTCTGTTCCACTTCCCCATGGAGATAAAAGGAAATAAACAAGAACAAGTGAGAAAATAGAAAAAACCCAGAAGGGTGTGTAGTATATATATATATGCTTGTACATGCATGTGTAGCATGACCTAAGCATAAGTAGAAGTAGCAAGAAGTACCTGAAATCTTGTATGTTCACAAGACAGAAAAAAAAACGCCAGGAATCCTACAATCATATAAAACAATACAGGTTTTCGTTTTACACTCACTTGGCAGCATGGTAGTACTTCCCCGGGTGGCTGCTGTATACCTTCCTACTACCTAGGTCTTCATTCTATATTTTTTACTATTTTATTCTAACACTATATACAAGAAATACTTATAATACAACAATTGTTTCAAAGTGTAATTACTCTTCAAAACATGGAAACAAGTCACTCTGACTTTACTAGGTTGTCCTGAGTTAAATATAGTGTGCACTTTGTGGCTGAATTCCACTGTATCTGGTAGGGAAGCTGGTGGTGAAACAACAGCTCCTGCTTTCACTGTTTACTTAAGCTAGTTAGGCATACTAGTACGTCAGACACAGTCACGTCAGACAGTCATCACCTGTGGATCCTCCTGGCCACAGATTTTTTTCAAATGTATGAAGAGATTGCAGAAGACCCAAAGAGTTGCAATGAGGTCAAATAGATTTATAGGTAACATATTTATAGGTACAAAAAATTTTTTATTATTTATTTTTTTTATTATCACACTGGCCGATTCCCACCAAGGCAGGGTGGCCCAAAAAAGAAAAACTTTCACCATCATTCACTCCATCACTGTCTTGCCAGAAGGGTGTTTTATACTACAGTTTTTAAACTGCAACATTAACACCCCTCCTTCAGAGTGCAGGCACTGTACTTCCCATCTCCACGACTCAAGTCCGGCCTGCCGGTTTCCCTGAACCCCTTCATAAATGTTACTTTGCTCACACTCCAACAGCACGTCAAGTATTAAAAACCATTTGTCTCCATTCACTCCTATCAAACACGCTCACGCATGCCTGCTGGAAGTCCAAGCCCCTCGCACACAAAACCTCCTTTACCCCCTCCCTCCAACCTTTCCTAGGTCGACCCCTACCCCGCCTTCCTTCCACTACAGACTGATACACTCTTGAAGTCATTCTGTTTCGCTCCATTCTCTCTACATGTCCGAACCACCTCAACAACCCTTCCTCAGCCCTCTGGACAACAGTTTTGGTAATCCCGCACCTCCTCCTAACTTCCAAACTACGAATTCTCTGCATTATATTTACACCACACATTGCCCTCAGACATGACATCTCCACTGCCTCCAGCCTTCTCCTCGCTGCAACATTCATCACCCATGCTTCACACCCATATAAGAGCGTTGGTAAAACTATACTCTCATACATTCCCCTCTTTGCCTCCAAGGACAAAGTTCTTTGTCTCCACAGACTCCTAAGTGCACCACTCACCCTTTTCCCCTCATCAATTCTATGATTCACCTCATCTTTCATAGACCCATCCGCTGACACGTCCACTCCCAAATATCTGAATACATTCACCTCCTTCATACCCTCTCCCTCCAATCTGATATCCAATCTTTCATCACCTAATATTTTTGTTATCCTCATAACCTTACTCTTTCCTGTATTCACTTTTAATTTTCTTCTTTTGCATACCCTACCAAATTCATCCACCAATCTCTGCAACTTCTCTTCAGAATCTCCAAAGAGCAGTGTCATCAGCAAAGAGCAACTGTGACAACTCCCACTTTATGTGTGATTCTTTATCTTTTAACTCCACGCCTCTTGCCAAGACCCTCTCATTTACTTCTCCTACAACCCCATCTATAAATATGTTAAACAACCACGGTGACATCACACATCCTTGTCTAAGGCCTACTTTTACTGGGAAATAATTTCCCTCTTTCCTACATACTCTAACTTGAGCCTCACTATCCTCGTAAAAACTCTTCCCTGCTTTCAGTAACCTACCTCCTACACCATACACCTGCAACATCTGCCACATTGCCCCCCTATCCACCCTGTCATACGCCTTTTCCAAATCCATAAATGCCACAAAGACCTCTTTAGCCTTATCTAAATACTGTTCACTTATGTGTTTCACTGTAAACACCTGGTCCACACACCCCCTACCTTTCCTAAAGCCTCCTTGTTCATCTGCTATCCTATTCTCCGTCTTACTCTTAATTCTTTCAATAATAACTCTACCATACACTTTACCAGGTACACTCAACAAACTTATCCCCCTATAATTTTTGCACTCTCTTTTGTCCCCTTTGCCTTTATACAAAGGAACTATGCATGCTCTCTGCCAATCCCTAGGTACCTTACCCTCTTCCATACATTTATTAAATAATTGCACCAACCACTCCAAAACTATATCCCCACCTGCTTTTAACATTTCTATCTTTATCCCATCAATCCCGGCTGCCTTACCCCCTTTCATTTTACCTACTGCCTCACGAACTTCCCCCACACTCACAACTGGCTCTTCCTCACTCCTACAAGATGTTATTCCTCCTTGCCCTATACACGAATTCACAGCTTCCCTATCTTCATCAACATTTAACAATTCCTCAAAATATTCCCTCCATCTTCCCAATACCTCTAACTCTCCATTTAATAACTCTCCTCTCCTATTTTTAACTGACAAATCCATTTGTTCTCTAGGCTTCCTTAACTTGTTAATCTCATTCCAAAACTTTTTCTTATTTTCAACAAAATTTGTTGATAACATCTCACCCACTCTCTCATTTGCTCTCTTTTTGTGTGTATTAATGTGTTGGACATACAGTTGTCACTTGAATACTAGTACATTGGACACAGTTAAAGTGGGGTATCTTTTAAGCTCATTCCAGACATTCAGTAATTTTTCTGTCTTAAGACATGGGTCATGTTTATCACATGAGACCCAGCTGAAAGCTTATATAACACCTCCATTGTTTCAAAACACTTGCACTTTCAAGCTTATTCTCCATTGCATTTTCAGAAAAACTGATGCTCCTCTCGAGTACCATGGGTAACTTCCAGTGACAAGGTGGTGTGAAGATCCAAGCTCACTTAACCCTTAAACTGTCCAAACGTAGATCTACGTTTTTTCAACATTTGAAAGTATGTAAAAAAATGTAGACCTTGTTTTTTTTTTTTTACATTTGAAAATGTGTAAAAAAAACTTTGATCTACATTTTTTTTTGTTATATTTGAAAATATGTAAAAAAAACTTTTGGAGCACTACGCATGTGAATGTAGATCTGCTTGGACAGTTTAAGGGTTAAATCATGTATGAGTGAGTGGGTATGGTCATCCACAAAGCAATTGGTGCATGGGAGGCTGCTAACATCATAGGTCTACAACAGACCTCCCTTCTAAAAATAATGGATTCGATTGAAAGCACCCTGTGGCATGGGGAGAAATTGCCATATCTCTTGGAGTGTTCTAATGCAGTTTGACATGTTTGACATGACTGATGCTTATTTTCCCCAAATTCACATCTTATGGTGTGCTTACTGTTTTTTCCTGTGTAACAAGATGGAAAACAAGATTTCACTAGAGTTTTATCAAAAATTTACTGTGTGAAAGTGCAATACATTAAAGTTCAATGTACATAAGAGGTTAAGACCCACTGCACCTAGGGCACAGACTCTAGACAGTGGTAGATTCTTTATGCAGCTACCTACCTGATGCACCTGGTAATGGTTCTAAAGATCACAGATGAACACCCAATTAAGTTATACATACATTAGGAACCATTTCTCCAATCTACTGTGAAATCTAATTCACAGCAGGCAATCTAAGGTTAAGAGGTGGGCCCTAGAACAAATGCCCAACCCCTGTAAACTCAATTATGTAAATGCACACAAAGCAGAACCTTGAGAAAGACTTGCCTTGCTTTTTTATTGCGTTGATAGGTGTCGGTGTTTTTGGCATCCAAGGTAGCATGGCGTTTTTCTGACATACTTTGCCTACCAAACTGATCCCGGGAGAACCCTGCCACATTCTCTTCTAGGGAAGTTCTGCAAAAGTTTTCTACGCTGTAGCAAAGCAAATTCAAATTTAAAAAATATACACCATTAAGCCTAACAGAATTAAGTGTTTGCTGAATGCATTCAAAATGTTGTATAATGTTTCAAGAAATATAACCAGTTCCTTATTTATATAGTCATTTTTTCTATGATAAGCCACTTCCAAACTAGCAAGCAGGTAAAGAAAAAATATCACAGTAAACCATTAAACACACTTTCAAATAAAATTCTTAACACAACTACTGTATAAGGCACCTTATTCTGCTCACGAGTAACTCCAGAGCCTGAGAATGTGTTGACTTAGAAAAATCTCATTGGAGAGTAAACATGTTTTTTTAACACTTATAATTACTCAGCCAGCCTGCAGAGGCAGAATATTCTTATCTGGTTCCAATGCCTATGATTATCACCCCAAGAAGGGAAATTCAAGGGCTTTCTTTTATCTTCAATCTAAATTATTAGTGCTTACACTTCATCTTTGTATACTAAAGCTACTTAAATATTTCAGGACAGAATTTTCACTATCTTATTCAACACTCTCCACCTTAGCCTAATTAGGTTTATCTTGAAACAAGATTTAGCATAGCTTATTCAATTTCTCGTATTCTTGTTATTTATGATTAATGTTATAAAGAAGTTTTATTATAATTAAAATGTGACAAATACCTTTGCAAGTCATATTATGTGAATTCATAACATAAAAATTAAAAAACTTACTGGCTGGTATAGGCATCATCTGATTGACTAGGATGGTCACTGTAGCTTCCAGTGGAGGCCCCAGGACCATCTGACCCACCAAGTTGGCTACAGCACACACACACAAAAAAAAAAAAAAATATTAAAACAAAAGTAACGATTTTACATTAGGAAAGTATACAGTGCTTCAAGAAGTACATTTACTTCTTTTGTTATACCAGATTCTCCTAGAACAAAGAAGTTCCTCATGGACAAGCAGATAATTACTGAAATTATTTCCAGAGATAAAAATTGGGAAAGGAATATTTTAAATGATTTCATTCTAAGGATTTTTCTTGAGTTACATATAATACATTCTTATATACAGTGTTTAAATTGTCAAGAATGTAGTACAATTTTTCCAATCAACTGTATTTCAAATGCCTTCGTTCAACTAGTTAATGGTCCAAGTCGGACTGAAATGTCATCACAAGTTTCATTCTCCTATGCGAGGGTTATTTTTTTGTTCCAGTCACAGTATTGTGCCTTTTAATTGTTTCTAGATGGTTTCAGGAATGTAGTCCCAACTTTTCCAAGCATTTCACTTACTGTAAAAAATGTTTTTAATAACATTTTTTTCATAATCTAGAATCATATATTCTACACCATAATCTAGCACTGCATCATAAGTTAAAACATGTTTTCAGTACAATTTTTTTCCTTAAAGCAAAACCTGTCCATTAGGTGATCTGACTTTTTTTTGGAGTGTGAAAATTAGTGAAACCATCCTAAATCCCTATTTTCACTAAATAACTAGCCATAGCAATGTAATTAGCAAATACACTGAAAACTGATACACTAGGAACCACCTAAGAGAAACTATTTGAAACCCAAAATCAAGCCTTGCTCTAGGTCACAAAAAATATTAACTCAAAAATCACTTGGTCTGCCACTTTTGTCTGCTTTTTACATAAATCCTTAATTTTAAAGTAAGATTCCAAATACAGTGGTACCTCGAGTTTCAAACACTTCCCAACTCGAACAATTATGTAAGTATATTTTTGTAAGTGCTTTTGTAAGTGTATTTTTGGGGGTCTGAAACGGACTAATCTAATTTACATTATTCCTTATGGGAACAAATTCGTTCAATATCGGCACTCGAACAGCCTTCTGGAACAAATTAAGTTCATAACTCGAGGTACCACTGTATAAGGTTGTGGTTTTCACACAAATCCCTAATTTTACCTTAAAAGTAAAATTCTACACATTTGCAATTTAATATTGGCTGTTTGGAGTGACATATAAACTGTCATATCTGAGTGCCTCTGCAAAGATTGTGTGAATGATGGTGAAAGTGTTGAATAATTGTAAAAGTATTTCTTTCTTTTTTATATCACCCTTGCCTCAGTGGAAGACAGCTGAAAAAAATGAGAAAAAAAATAGAGAAAAAAAAAGGAAAAAAAAAAAAAAAAAGTAATATGCTAAGTATATCAATACAGATAGATGATATTTCAGGAAACATTCTGCCAACTATAGGCTTTCTCAATCTTATCTTAAGATTGCAAAAACCCCTATCGAGTGAAACTTTTCCTTAGTAAAATATCGTAAGTGTTGCCCATGTATCTTTACCCTGTAATGTTGTGGGAGGTGATATCTGGTAATAAGAACATAAGAAAGAAGGAACACTGTAGCAGGCCTACTGGCCCATGTGAGACAGGTCCAAGTCTCCTACTGGCTTAACCCTTTCGGGGTCCAGAGGCCAAATTTCAAAAAATTTACCAGTGTCCAAGAATTTTCAAAAAATAATTTTATTTTTTTCTTATGAAATGGTTGAGAATCTTTTTCTAAAGGTAATAAAACAAAAAGTACGAAATTTGATGGAAAACTGATGAAATTATGTTCTCACGAATTTTGATGTGTCAGCGATATTTACGCATTGGCGATTTTGACTTTGACGACTTTGACTCCCATTTTAGGCCAATTACCTTATTCCAGTCGACCAAATTCTTAGCTATTTCACTAGTATTACTTCCATTCTATAGACTGACCACAAGAAATCACCAACTCAACTGTTTCAACTACAAAATAAAGTGACTGGAAATTGGTAATTTGGCCAATTTAGTGCATAGTTCAAAATATTTCGATTTCAAGATAGGGTCCAGAATAAACAATGCAAGCATTCCTGGCACTAAACTAACATTTCCTCTGTTCATTAGTTACGTTTTCAGGCTTTACAAATTAATTCCATTTTGATTTTTAATTCACATTGAATTTTTATTCAAACCAAAAAAATAGAAGATTTACTGTCATGCAATATTACAATAATTGTATAAATAATATCAGCACATTTGTGAATGTATATCAGACCCACCAGCTGGTGTGTATTAGACGTGTGAGGTCATTTGTTTACTCTTGAACATAGGCAAAAACTTAACATTTCCGCTACTTTGAGCTCAGTTTCAAGCCATTTTCAGTACTAAAACCAATCAAAATCACATCTATTTCTGTAACATATCTTCCATTCTATCAAGTGAGACCAAGAAATCATAAATACAACTATAAAAAACATACGAAAAAACACTGCAAATTTGCTGTTTTAATTGAAAATTACAGTCTCAGTTTTTTCTCTCATTATACACTGTGTGCTGCAGGATTTGTTTTATGTGGTGCACACATACCACACAGATGTATTCTCTCATATCTAGGCCAAAATTTACCGCTCACAGCTTATCAGAGAGAGCTGAGCTCGTGGCGTAGATCTACTGTTTGGACCCTCAACATAAAGCCGTAGATCTACAGCACAGACCCTGAAAGGGTTAAGCCAATGCCCCAAACTAGTCAGGTCAGGTCACATTCACTTAACCCTTTGATTGTCGCAAGCCCCTTTCTGAAACTCATTCTATGTCAAAAATATTTAAAAAAGAAAATTTATTTTTTCTAATGAAATGATAGAGAATCTTTTCCCAGTGCTAATGACATCAAAAGTATGAAATCTGATTGAAAACTTATGGAATTACGCTCCCACAAAGTTAGTTATCTTGGCGATATATAAGCACCGACGATTTTGCTGAATTTGGGCCCTATTTTCGGCCAATTCCATTGTTCCAGTCAACCAAACTCATAGCAATTTCTTTAGAACTCCATTTTTTCTATCAATTGAGTACAAGAAACCGCCCATTTAACAATTTTAATTACCCAATTTTACGCAAATTAAAAATGATGCCTTTTTTTTTTTTTTTTTTTTTTTTTAACAAGTCAGCCGTCTCCCACCAAGGCAGGGCGACCCAAAAAGAAAATACTTTCTTCATCATTCAACACTTTCATCTCACTCACACATAATCACTGTTTTTGCAGAAGTGCTCAGAACACAACAGCTTAGAAGCATATACGTACAAAGATACACAACATATCCCTCCAAACTGCTAATATCCCGAACCCCTCCTTTAGAGTGCAGGCATTGTACTTCTCATTTCCAGGACTCTAAGTCCGGCTATACAAAAATAACCGGTTTCCCTGAATCCCTTCACTAAATATTACCCTGCTCAAACTCCAATAGATCGTCAGGTCCCAAATACCATTCGTCTCCATTCACTCCTATCGAACACGCTCATGCATGCCTGCTGGAAGTCCAAGCCCCTCGCCCACAAAACCTCCCTTACCCCTTCCTTCCAACCTTTTCGGGGACGACCCCTACCCCGCCTTCCTTCCCCTACAGATTTATATGTTCTCCATGTCATTCTACTTTGATCCATTCTCTCTAAATGACCAAACCACCTCAACAACCCCTCTTCAGCCCTCTGACTAATACTTTTATTAACTCCATACCTTCTCCTAATTTCCACACTCCGAATTTTCTGCATAATATTTACACCACACATTGCCCTTATACAGGACATCTCCACTGCCTCCAACCGCCTTCTTGCTGCTGCATTCACAACCCAAGCTTCACACTCATATAAGATTGTTGGTACTACTATACTTTCATACATTCCCTTCTTTGCCTCCATAGATAACGTTTTTTGTCTCCACATATACCTCAATGCACCACTCACCTTTTCTCCCTCATCAATTCTATGATTAACCTCATCCTTCATAAATCCATCCGCCGACACGTCAACTCCCAAGTACATATCTGAAAACATTCACTTCTTCCATACTCCTCCTCCCCAATTTAACATCCAATTTTTCTTTATCTAAATCATTTGATACCCTCATCACCTTACTCTTTTCTATGTTCACTTTCAACTTTCTACCTTTACACATACTCCCAAACTCATCCACTAACCTTTGCAATTTTTCTTTAGAATCTCCCATAAGCACAGTATCATCAGCAAAAAGCAACTGTGTCAATTCCCATTTTGTATTTAATTCCCCATAATTTAATCCCACCCCTCTCCTGAAAACCCTAGCATTTACTTCTTTTACAACCCCATCTATAAATATATTAAACAACCATGGTGACATTACACATCCCTGTCTAAGACCTACTTTTACTTGGAAGTAGTCTCCCTCTCTTCTACACACCCTAACCTGAGCCTCACTATCCTCATAAAAACTCTTTACAGCATTTAGTAACTTACCACCTATTCCATATATTATGATGGCGATTCTGGTCATTTAAATCCATTCATCTTAAACACACAAAATTAATAAACTCCAGTACTCATTAAGTGAGCTTACCTTGAAAGATGAGTCCCGACATCATCATGGATGATGAGAGTATCCCTAGATGGCAGGTTAACAGTTGGGGAACCGAGGGGATTCATACCAGGAACTCCAGTTGTTAACGTTTCACGCTCATTACGCATTACAAAGTGTTGCAACTGAGATGTGTTCCAAGTGTCATGTGTTGCCTGGGAGAAGTAAATTTTATAAGTAGCCTTAACCTCAGGAAGTCATTGTATGCTAAATTTATGTAGCAATACACAAATTCCTAATTTATGTAACACAGTATATTATTCTTATTCAAACTGTCACATAGAAATATGTAAATTTCCATAATTTGTTGCACCTCATGAGTGGGCAATGAAACACCGAAAACATTTATTTCTTCAAGTGATCAATGGAAAAAGGTCTTACCTTGATTTATGCAGTTCATTTCTGATCTTCACACTACAGAATGGTTATAAATATATTGGAGAACAAACTGAGAAGGATGACTAAATCAATCTTTGTAAGGAATCTTACATATGGAGATAGATTGAGAACCCTAAAATTACTCTCTTGAAAGACAAAGAATGAGGGAAAATAAGAATGAAGTATAAAAATGGAAGACAGGTTTAATAAAGAAGATATAAACAGGGCATTAAGAGTAACTAATCAAGCAAGAACTTGCCACACTAAATTCAAATTGGACAAATTCCCAGTTAGAAAGGATGTAAGAAAATATTGGCTTACCAAGAGTTGTAGACAGATTTGAAAATAAGTTGGATGAATTTTTTTTTCAACATGGCAGCTGTCTCCAAACAAGGCAGGGTGACCCAAAAAAGAAACACTTTCACCACCATTCAACACTTTCACCATCATTCACACAATATCACTGTCTTTGCAGAGGTGTCCAGACATGACAGTTTAGATGTCACTCCAAACAGCCAATATCCCAAACCCCTCCTTTACAGTGCAGGCAATGTACTTCCCACCTCCAGGACTCAAGTCTGACTAACCGGTTTCCCTGAATCCATTCACAAAATATTACCCAAGGCAGTGCTCTTCTGTTATTCTGTATTTAAGAACTTTTCATAAAATATAATCCATTTTTAAAAGGTACAAAATTTAGTGAAAATAAATGTATCTAATCCTACAACAACTGCCAGTCCCTGATATAAAATTTCTTAATTTCAGCAATAATTGCTCAAAAGTGATAAACAGGAATAGGGTTGATGAGTTTGTTTAGGTGTGCTATCTCATAAATAAGTCCAATAGTATTTTCCAAACGTTTCTACACCATAAATTAACTTGTGAAGGGATTCATGGGAAACCGTTAAGCCACACTTGAGTGCTGGAGGTGGGAAGGGCAGTGCTGGCACTCTGAAGGAAGGGTGGGGATGTTGCAGACAGAGGGTAAGCTGAATTGTGATGTCAGTACACTTCTGACAAGACAGCAGTTGAATTAATGTAGGTGAATGCGATTCCTTCTCTGAGTGATCCTGCCTTCACAGGAGAAAGCCACTGAGGTAAAAATAATAATTTTAAGAACTTTTCTATTATATTTTACAATTAGACAGTTTGCAGTTTTACAGTTTGGTAAATCTTAATTCTGATCAGATATGCCCAAGCACCAAACAATATTTTTAATTACTGCCAATCAGCATTTATATTCTAATTATACTAATAATGATTCTCAAAGTGTTTCAAAAAGAGAAATGCTAAGTAAGTTAAAGAGAAAATCTATGAAAAAAATTATGTTTATTTCATGGAGTCCAGCTTCAAGTTTAATCCTAAAATATTTGGCTAAACCTTTTTTTTTACATCAAGGAAATTTTTTTATATATTGGTATTAATTGAACATAAACAAAAACACTTCATCCTTAATATTTTGAGGGTTTTTGGCTAACTTATTCTCCTTTCATTACATTAATTTTCTTAAGAGGTAAATAATGTCAAATTCTTATCAACATGTAAACTTCCTTATTTTAGGTTAGGTTAGAAGACACAGAATAACCAGGAAACATTACAATCTGCACAACTCTCACTCAAGGTATGAGACTGGATTGCATAACTGCACTGTGTTAGACTGAGCTAGCGCTCACTAAAACTTATAAACAAACATTCAGAGAGTTTGCAGTCACAAGACCCAAGCAGTTGTGCCTGCCACTCTGTATGATAAACTTATAAAGCCAAAACTTTTAAAAGGGTAGGCCATACAGATATCTAGTATACATACAAATGTAAATTAAGCCATTATTATGTAGTACAGCCACATGCATAAAACTACAGCCAATTAAACTCTCTTACTCCTTATTCTCATTACTCTCACTAAACAGTCCGAGGTCTACAGGTATCACAAAGAATAAAAAGGCACAATACTGTGACTGGAACAATACAAAAATAACCTGAGTTATTTGTGTACTGTTTATGTATGAGGCCAGAACAAGACAGACACAAATTAGTGACAATGGAATTAAAGTTAAACTTTTAAGAGTGCCTCTAACACAGGCCTTCATGAGCAAGGTAGTTTCTCCTCCGTTGGAAAGGAAATACAGTGGAACCTTGGTATCTGAACTTAATTTGTTCCAGAAGGCTGTTCAAGTGCTGATCTGTTTGAGTACCGAACAAATTTTTCCTAACCAATTTTCTTTTTGGTTGGCTGTAAGTGCTAATCTTTGTAGGCCCCATGGTGACTTATTTATATGAATAATACAAGAAAAAACACCAAAAAATGTGAAGAAACATTAAACAGTTTACAGTCAAGTTCTGGCAGGTCGTGTTTGTTTGGTCGAGTGCCAAGCAAATGGTGAACAACTGAGCGTTTTTTTTTTACTGAACAAAGTGTTTATATACCGGATTGTTTAAGTAGGGAGCTATTCAAGTACTGAGGTTCCACTGTATTACAGGATTAACAACTATTAAGAAGCACATGGAAAAGTAAAAGCATGTTCATGAGACAAAGAAAAGATAAGTAATCCTGCCAAATTGAAGAAAAGAAAATAAACAGTTTTTCATTTCAAAATCATTTCATAGGACAGTAGTGCCTGCCTGAATGTCTGCTGTTTAACAACTCACAACCTATTACTGACTTGAAATACAAGTGCTCCACTCTAGAGGTATTGTGACAACTGAAAAATGTTGAATGCCACTACCAGAATGGTTGACTAATGGTTGACCGAATGAGCTAACTCAGCTGTTTAATGAAACCTTATAGTGTGTACACAATAAATATAAATAAACGCATATACAATAAATATTTAAATAGTTTTAATTTCAAGCCACTACCTAAAATTTATTACCTTATAATAGCTTTCATTTCGGAGTGCTCCATTGTTAGTTGTTAGTCTCTGGATGACAGGATTCCTTATATCAAATGTGCCCATGTTGGTAAATTCTCCTCCCTCAGTATCATGCCAATCATCATACTTAAAAGAAAAATAATACGTACAAAGAATTCTAAAGAAAAACTGAATGTATAATTGTTTTTCAGATATATGGGCAGAACTTTGTCAAAAATTATGCAGTGTACTGTTAAACACAATCAAATGTAGCTTTCAACTATTCATTTTCTGCTTATTGTATTATTGATAACCATTATTTGGGCACTCTTATCAAGATGCTCCATACCCAAAAAATGAAAAAAGACATACACTTTGCTTGCAAAAACTAATTACTAATTTAGCTACTATATAAAGAATATGTTGACATTTACAGTCTGTACATCAATAAACCAGGGCAGTTTACCTTAGAATTTAATGTAACTGTGGTTTCTGAAGAATCAATAATGCCAGAATGATCAGGTGTAGGAGTAGCAGGTGAAGATTTTGCTCCACCTAATGTCTCTGTACCTGATGAGTTTGTAAGCAAGCTATTGGCCGATTCTCGACCTGATCGATTAGCTGAAGAAGGGCTTGACCGCTCTTTGTGGTCTGTCCTCCTTGCTACAGTAAGAGAGATCATGCCTGGAGTTGGACCCTGGGGAACACAGATCTGGTGATTCCTCACATGAATTGTGAATGCCTAGATGTAAAGGTTAAGTAATCAGTCACTAAATAGATTTTGTGATACACAGAACATGAATTTAATTTCTTCGAGGAAAATAAATGTTAAGCATAAGAATATACAGTGGAACCCTGATTTTCATCCTTAATCCGTTCCAGAAGGTTGGTCGAAATCCAAAATGGACGAAAACCTAAGTAATATTTCCCATAACAAATAATGTAAATCCATTTAATCCATTCCAGAAACCCAAAAATATTAAGAAAAAATACATTATATAGAGAATAACTATAGTTTTACATACAGAAAACAATGAGGAATAAATATAAATGACTAATCTTAATGGATAAATGAACTTTTAAATCACTTTTACCTTTACTGAAGAGACTTACTGGCGTATGGAAGATGGCGAGGAGGGGAGAGGGAGGAGAGTTCATTGTTTGGAAGGGTAAGCCCCCTCCATGAGGCCTTCAGGTATCAAAGCCCTATCTGGGGTTACTTCCCTTCTTTGTCTTTTACTGGCACTAGGACCAGCTTGAGAGTCACTGGACCATGCAGACATGGCTTGCAACAACTTTGCTAGGGTCATATTTCTCCACCAACTCATCCACATCCTAGCTACACGATATTTAATGCGGCTCAGAGCCATATTATTACCATCGACATACCGTGTTTTCCGAGTCTAATTATTTCTAACAACTACCTTTAGATGCCATCATAAACAAAGGGAGAAGTAATGAATAATTCATGCCGAGAATTGCAAACAAAAGCGTTATGTATTAAGGGCTGTGACTGGGCCACTGCAGATTCATACACGTTTTCTCTGATGCTGGACCAGAGAAAATGTAATGTTTTCCCTCTGCCTGGCCAGCACACCTCCACAGCATATAAACATTGCATGTTTATATGCTATATAACATTTTTTTTTTTTTTATTATTATCACACTGGCCGATTCCCACCAAGGCAGGGTGGCCCGAAAAAGAAAAACTTTCACCATCATTCACTCCATCACTGTCTTGTCAGAAGGGTGCTTTACACTACAGTTTTTAAACTGCAACATTAACACCCCTCCTTCAGAGTGCAGGCACTGTACTTCCCATCTCCAGGACTCAAGTCCGGCCTGCCGGTTTCCCTGAACCCCTTCATAAATGTTACTTTGCTCACACTCCAACAGCACGTCAAGTATTAAAAACCATTCGTCTCCATTCACTCCTATCAAACACGCTCACGCATGCCTGCTGGAAGTCCAAGCCCCTCGCACACAAAACCTCCTTTACCCCCTCCCTCCAACCTTTCCTAGGCCGACCCCTACCCCACCTTCCTTCCACTACAGACTGATACACTCTTGAAGTCATTCTGTTTCGCTCCATTCTCTCTACATGTCCGAACCACCTCAACAACCCTTCCTCAGCCCTCTGGACAACAGTTTTGGTAATCCCGCACCTCCTCCTAACTTCCAAACTACGAATTCTCTGCATTATATTCACACCACACATTGCCCTCAGACATGACATCTCCACTGCCTCCAGCCTTCTCCTCGCTGCAACATTCATCACCCATGCTTCACACCCATATAAGAGTGTTGGTAAAACTATACTCTCATACATTCCCCTCTTTGCCTCCAAGGACAAAGTTCTTTGTCTCCAAAGACTCCTAAGTGCACCACTCACCCTTTTCCCCTCATCAATTCTATGATTCACCTCATCCTTCATAGACCCATCCGCTGACACGTCCACTCCCAAATATCTGAATACGTTCACCTCCTCCATACTCTCTCCCTCCAATCTGATATCCAATCTTTCATCACCTAATATTTTTGTTATCCTCATAACCTTACTCTTTCCTGTATTCACTTTTAATTTTCTTCTTTTGCACACCCTACCAAATTCATCCACCAATCTCTGCAACTTCTCTTCAGAATCTCCCAAGAGCACAGTGTCATCAGCAAAGAGCAACTGTGACAACTCCCACTTTATGTGTGATTCTTTATCTTTTAACTCCACCCCTCTTGTCAAAACCCTCGCATTTACTTCTCTTACAACCCCATCTATAAATATATTAAACAACCACGGTGACATCACACATCCTTGTCTAAGGCCTACTTTTACTGGGAAATAATTTCCCTCTTTCCTATGTACTCTAACTTGAGCCTCACTATCCTCGTAAAAACTCTTCACTGCTTTCAGCAACCTACCTCCTACACCATACACCTGCAACATCTGCCACACTGCCCCCCTATCCACCCTGTCATACGCCTTTTCCAAATCCATAAATGCCACAAAGACCTCTTTAGCCTTATCTAAATACTGTTCACTTATATGTTTCACTGTAAACACCTGGTCCACACACCCCCTACCTTTCCTAAAGCCTCCTTGTTCATCTGCTATCCTATTCTCAGTCTTACTTTTAATTCTTTCAATAACATGTTTCTTATATAATTTTGAAGAAAATATCATAGATGGATTAACCCTTAAATTGTCCAAGTGTAGATCTACGTTCGCTCGCGTAGCGCTCCGAACATAGTTCCACTTTTTTTTTTACATGCCTTCTTAAGGAGAAAATCAAGGTTGGAGCGCTATGCGCGCAAACGTAGATCTACGTTTGGATAGTTTAAGGGTTAATGAAAATGTCTATATTAACCTAAAATAAGGCATTCAATGTGCCCAAGTGTGATTATCATTACGTACGTACTAGAATCACGAACGTATGAGCGGCCCACTTGGACGCATCTGGTACAGACGATTTCCGAGGAGAGGTACAAAACCCGGTGTAAAATTTTGCCCAAAATAGTGGTCAAAATTCAAATTGTACGATATCCGCGCCAGACGAAATCCAGGGTTCCACTGTATGAGGTTTAGAAAAATATTTTTCAAGTGAAAACTTAACAAACCTCTTGATGCATGGCTGTTCTTAGAGTTTTCATGGCTTCACTGTTAGGTTTTCCAAGAAGAGACAATCCATTAATGTTGACGAGCTGATCGTTCTGGAGGAGCCGACCATCTCGAGAGGCTGCCCCACCATGAATGACATTTTTTACAAAGATTCCTAAGTCAACAGAGCCATTGGGGCCTGAACTTGTCTTACCCTTCACACTTACCCCTGATATAAAAATAATTTAGATAATTAACAATGAATTTTAAACTTTTTGAAAATTACTATTCATACCAGAGTAAAAGGATGAGACTGAAAAATACATTAATGACTCATTTGTATATCCATTTACTTATTTAAAGAAATTGTTAAATAATGAAAATTAGTAATACAAAACACATCATGAACATAATTTACTTAAGCACTATAAAGTAGTAAATTCTGAACAAGTTAACACTCACCCAATCCTGCTCTCTCTGAATCATGAACCGGAATTTCAAACATGAGTATTTCTCTTTGCTTCCAAGGAAACATGAGACTATCCTCCGATGTTTTTTCTGCAGGCTGTCAGGAGACAAGGATAAGATATATAAATAAAACCAAAAACAATATGGTCTTAAAAATTTGAATCATACTACACTTACAAATTTTTCCTACAGCCATGTCAAGAGAAATTAAACAACATTTTAACTACTATATGGGATACAAAATTGTTATTACTTCAATAAAAAGGAAAAAAAATGAAAGTTACTTGCTTCTTTTCTAAGTCCAACATGCTAGAAACAAATTATGATTAAAATGAACTTAACCCTTTGACTGTCGCAACCCCCAATCCTGAGGTGTCTCCTGGTGTCGCAAAATTTAAAAAAAAAAAAAAATTATTTTTTCTTATGAAATGATAAGAGAATCTTTTCCCGATTGTAATGACACCAAAAAAACAAAATTTGATGGAAAACTGACGGAATTATGCTCTCGCGAAGTTAGCGACCTCGGCGCTGTTTACAAATCGGCGATTTCGCCCACTTTGAGCCCTATTTTCGGCTAATTCCATTGTTCCAGTCGCCCAAACTCATAGCTATTTCTTTAGAACTTCATTTTTTCTATCGATTGAATACAAGAAACTGCCCATTTACTGATTTCAACTACCTAATAATGTGGTCAGAAATTTGCAATTTGGCCAATTTCACGAAAACTAAAAAATATGACAATTTCAAAATAAGGTCCAGAATGAACAATGCAGACATTCCTGGCTCTAAAATAACGTTTTCTTTGTTCATCAGTCACGTCTCCAGGCCCTTCTGATATTACTCTTGCTTTCTATTTTGAATTTTTATTCAAACAAAAAATATTAGACTTACTATTATGCAGACTACTGCAATGCTGTAATAACTGTATAAATAACATCAACCCATTCATGACTACATATTAGAATGGCTAGTTGGACATTTATTGGACAATGGCATCATTTGTTTACTTTTGAACATTGGCAAAAATCAAACATTTCCCCTACTTTGAGCTCCATTTCTAGGTTCTTTTTATAGTAAAATCAATCAAAATCACCTCTATTTCGTAATATGTTTTCCATTCTATCAAATGAGACCAGAAAACGAGAATACAACCATAAATATCAACGAAAATAGACCTACAAAGACGCATTTAATTAAAAAAAACTACCGAGTTTTTTTGTTCTCATTGGCACTGCGTGACAGGATATTTTTTTATTGTGCAACACTAGCAAATCAAACATTCCCCATTTTGGCCTACCATTTCTTCTCTTTTGTAATTCAAGCACCTTAGAATATGTTATGCTATAATAACCAAAAACGGCAACCCTAAAACGATACGAAATAGCCCACAGTCCAAATTAAAATAAAGTCAGGTTCCACTTGCATCATGCACCAGATTCTATTTCAAGACCCACACCTTTCCAATATGGCCACACAACATGTGACTTGAAGCCTAGAATTTATAATATATCTATACACAGCAGCAAACTACACATACGCCGGAGTAAAGTTAATAATAAAGACATGCCACTGCTATGACAAGCTTTCAGCCATACTAAATTCAACATGTAATAATGAACAATCATCAACACAGGGCAAACTGTACAACTGTATATTTCAAAAATTGCCAACCGAAACTGACCTGCTTTGTATCAAATTATATATAATTTACTGACATAAAAAGGAATTTGCATCACTTAATTTAAAATATAGTTAAACAAACTTCAACAACCAAGAAATTTAATGAAATAATTACATTTTCAAATTCAATTAAAATATAGTAAACAAATTCAACACCATAGCTTTAAGAACATAATTAATGCATAATATCTCCACATCTCTACCTAAATTTGTCATAGTTCACCTTTTACAAATTATCACTATAAAAGGCTCTTTTGCCACACAATCTCAGTTCTGCAAAAGTTTAAATGGCAAAGAAAATGACTGTAAACAACAGATAGAGAAAAGGTCTACATATGACACTGTACTATAAATGCAGAAAAAATTATAGAAAATAAACAAAAATATTATGGTATCAATATATATAACAATACTTTTTTTTTTTTAACACACTGGCCATCTCCCATTGAGGCAGGGTGACCCCCCCCCCAAAAAAAAAAAAAAAAACCTTTCACCATCATTCAAATATAATCACTGTCTTTGCAGAGGAGCGCAGATACAATAGTTTAGATGTCACTCCAAACAGCAAATACATAATCCCAAACTGCTGAACAATACTTTCAGTAACTCTGCACCTTCTCCTAATCTCCAAACTATAAATTCTCTGCATAATATTTACACCACACATTGCCCTCAGACACAACATCTCCACTGCCTCCAGCCTCTTCCTCACTGCAACATTCACAACCCATGCTTCAACACCCACATAAGTCTTCGTGCCATTATACTTTCATACATTACCCCCTTTTGCCTCTATTGGTATCATTCTTGGTCTCTAAAGATACCTCAATGCACCACCCACCTTTTCCCTTCATATATAAAATATAGATATATATAAACATGCTATTTCAGGCTATGTTCACAAAATATAAGGTAAGTCACTTATGAAACTCTCAACTCTATGCATTGAATCCTGTGTTAAACAACTAAGAACACTGTGATTACCAAGTAAAACTGGGAGAATTACTTTTAACTTAGTAGGTCTGTATAAAAGATTACTGTAATATGTTTTAAAGACACATTTGACTTGCAACATACGCAAGTATTTAAGGTCTTGTACATGATAAACAGAGCCTGAAAGTACAAGAAAGCATAAAATACCTGGCAGAAGAAAGGGTGGCTGTCTTGTGGGTAGATCGATACCTATAACAGAATGTCCATGGTCAGTTGTGGTCCTATGTTTAATAGCTGTCAAGTTGCATTGTCATTTTCAGAAATAGTACCATTTGTTTAATAATTAACACAGTCAGTTCAATAAAAAACTTAGCATGTTGCAAGTCAGTATCCTAAATTAATTTCTGACTAGCCACTCCTACAATAAAAAATTGAGACATTCTCAAGACTTTGTCTTGTACATAATGGTAACGAGAAACTTAAGCAGATGCAACAATTGATTTTATTAGTAATTTAACTTTTTAAAATACCCTGTACTGGACAAGAAAATGCTTAATTTTTAAACACAACACAACTGCCGTTTCAATCCAAAGTGGGAAATTCATTCTCTACTATTATTTCAAACCTGATTCCCAAAGAGTGCATGAAGAAAATAATAGCAGCAGCACAAAGAAAGCCTCACAAACATATAATTGCATGAAGGAACCTAAAGAAAGGCTTGTTCAACACACTTTTTGCTTCAAATGAGCAACCCATCATTAAGCATGCAGTACTGGGGCAAATCCTCATCTAGTTAAATACAAAACGAAACTAAAGAAAATACATTGGAATGCACACAGTTTGGTGACTGAATTGAGGAGAATGATCTGTAAACAAGAAACGAAAGCTGCTAGGCATCACATGGCTGAAGAACACAGGTTATCTGAAAGTTACCATAAGACTATTATGGGGATTACCGCCCTCATGGCCCAGTACCAAACTTAGCCTCCTGATTAATAGCCTGGCCAACCAGGCAGTTGGTGGCAGCTGCACACAGTCCAACATAGGTTCCACAGCCTAGCTGATCAGGAACTACATAAGGATATGATTATGACAAATTTACCTAGGGCATAGACAGTTAAGACAAGAACAAGTTCTTTACCAAAACTGCAACAAATAAGCCACAGCTTCAACAGTAACTAAAGCCCATGAGGAGAGAAATCAGTGAAGCCAGTCAAAGTACTCTAGGAAACAAGGCCAAGAGAAGTCTTTCAAGCATGGCAAACAAACTGTCAAAACCTTCTATCAATGAAAAAGTGGTAAAAAACCGAGTACGTATGTATATGAGTATGTGTACATACCTAATTTTGTGTGTGTGCAGGGGGGGGGGGCTGCAGTGTGCATAAAAGGGAGGAGGGAGAGAAGAAGGAGTTAGAGAGGGGAAAGAGAGAGAGGGGGGAGGGAGAGAGGGGGGAGGGAGAGAGGGGGGAGGGAGAGAGGGGGGAGGGAGAGAGGGGGGAGGGAGAGGGGGGAGGGAGAGAGGGGGGGGAGGGAGAGAGGGGGGAGGGAGAGGGGGGAGGGAGAGAGGGGGGGAGGGAGAGAGGGGGGGAGGGAGAGAGGGGGGGAGGGAGAGGGGGGGGAGGGAGAGAGGGAGGAGGGAGAGGGGGGAGGGGAGGGGAGGGAGAGAGGGGGAGGGAGAAAGGGGGAGGGAGAGAAGGGAGAGGGGGGGAGAGAGAGGAGGAGGAGGAGAGAGGGGGGAGGGAGGGGAGGGGAGAAGAGGGGGAGGAAGGGAGGGGAGGAGAGGGGAGGAAGGGAGGGAGAGAGAGGGGGAGAGGGAGGGAGAGAAAGAGGGGGAAGAGGGAAAGAGTGAAGGAAAAGGAGGAGGAAAGGGAGGAGAAAGGGGGGAAAGAAGAGGAGGGAAAGAAGGGGAAGGAAGAGTGAGAAGGGGTGGGAAGAGTGAGGAAAAAAAGAAAAAGAACAACCCTTGCAACCACTCCAGTTATGTGGATGAATGGTTCAGAGAACCGATAAGTTGATAAATTAGACACATATGCAACACTTGGGTATCTTTATTGAGATACCCAAGTGTTGCAGACAATCCAGTTATGTCCAAGTATAGAAAGAGACGATGGAACACCATTTACGGTAGCTAAATCTTGAGGTACTGGCATTTGTGTTTAAGTGCTCAATTACAAAATATAACCTAATACTTACTTGTAAAATAAACCAGAACTTAAAAGTAACACCTCAGGTACATACATGCACAAACTATTCCATGAGCTTCTAATGTTAAGATCTTGAAATATTCCAAGGTAGCACACAATTACAAAAAGATATTGGACTTAGGTATATAATTACAACTTTCTTACAACCTAGTCTTCTGGCAATAACTTAGGTGACAGTACTAGATTAACTACCACAAATTACAGTAATACAACTATACTGTAACCAAGTGTGTAATTGTACATAACTGCACTATACATCATATAAACTGTTAAATAAGCAAAACTCAATGGAACATTTTTGCCTTGCATACAAGTACATACACTGTATCTACAGTATACAGCTTACAACAAGTGAAATAAGACTGATTATACATTAGGCTCAACTAACAATCAACAACTATAAGCCCTACAAACAAATAATTTTAAAAGCAATGCCATTAATCTTAGCTGATTTTACTAACAATAATTACATACCAATTGTCTGGGTAGTTTCGGGCTAGAAGGCTTGTCAGTTTCTGATACTTCAACTATCCCACTGCCTGGGTCTCCATTACGCTGGTCTTGACGTGACACAGTGAGAGTTGCTGCTCCACCTATTGGAATTTGTCGGAGAAGACCTGCAACATCTGACTGACTGCGACCCGTCACTTCTACACCATTAACTTCTAAAAGACGATCACCAATACGCAGTGTGCCATCTTCAATGGCAGCTCCCTGAGGATAAAAAAAAAATGTATTGTATTGTGCCTATTCCTTTAAATCCTTGCAATATCCAATCAATACTACTGAAGAAATAACAGAAGAGTAAATGCTAGATTCAGTAGGTGGCTGGTAATGGCAAACTGTCATGGATAAAGACAAAATTGTTTTGCTGTGATCATAACACTGGACAATTCTGTAACTAACAGATTTTGTTGTTTCTGAATCAACTGTCCCAACAAATTTTGTCCATGTGATAAATGGTTTAAAACTGACAAGTTGAAGATTGAGACACTTATGTAACATATGGAAATCTTTGCTGAAGAAACGTTTCACCACACAGTGGTGTCATCGGTCTGATACAAATCAGAAAGGTGTAAGGAGAGGAGTGAGGTAATCAGATTCCCATATGTTGCGTAAGTGCCTCAATCTTCAACTTGTTGGTTTTAAACCATTTATCACATCTGTCAGAGACTGCAACATCATGGGATCTTGATACAAAGAATTCTTCAACACTTGTCCAATCTTTGGATGAAGACCTACTTTGACAAGTGGATGGTACCACTATGACCCTGCCTCCTCCTGCTTCGCCTCACCTGACTACAGTATATACGTAAGCCACTTCTACGGCCCTATGCTGTACTTTCTACAAGATTGATGGACCGAACACATCGGCTCCAGGCTGAGGGACTGATTACCTCAAACTCCTCCTCTCCTTACACCTTTCTGATTTGTATTGGACTGATGAAGCCACTGTGTGGCAAAACGTTTCTTCAATAAAGAGTCCCATGTGTTGCCTAAGTGTCTCAAGCTTCAAATTTTGTCCAATATTTCCAAAGTCTGCTATAAATCATATTTTTGTAACATTTCCTTTTTAAATTTAGGAAACCTCCTTAGAGTGGGCCACAGGGGAAGAATGACTCCTGACACCACTTGCATGTTCACAAGTAGAACAGTAATAAAAAAATGCAATGAACATTATTCCATAATGCCATAAACTGAAGTCTGAGTACAGTAGGAACGATGCAAGACAAATCAGTACAAAAAGCACATTTGACTTAAAATGATAATCATTTTTGTGAACACCTAATTTTTTAATTACCTGTGATATACTTGTGACTGGCTGAAAGATTCTTCCCAATCCTGTACCCACATTTGAGGCTTGGCTTTTCTATTGCTTGTCTGATTAACCATTCTGTTGTTGCTGGCGACCCACTACCCACATGTAGTATGTAGGATTGTGGATGAGCAAGGTTTTAAGAGTAGGTAGGGGATGTGTAGATCAAGTGTTTACATTGAAGCATATATGTGAACAGTATTTAGATAAAGGTAGGGAAGTTTTTATTGCATTTATGGATTTAGAAAAGGCATATGATAGAGTGGAGAGGGGAGCAATGTGGCAGATGTTGCAAGTACAGGTACCATCCGACTTACGACCAAGCTTGGTTCCAACCAACCGGTCGTAAGTCAAAATGGACGTAAGTCGAGTGGGTGGCCGGGTGGGTGGTTGGCTGACTGAATGTGGCTGTCTCTCTCTCTATATCTCTCTCTCTATCTCTCTCTCTGTATCTCTCTCTGTATCTCTCTCTGTATCTCTCTCTGTATCTCTCTCTGTATCTCTCTCTGTATCTCTCTCTGTATCTCTCTCTGTATCTCTCTCTGTATCTCTCTCTGTATCTCTCTCTGTATCTCTCTCTGTATCTCTCTCTGTATCTCTCTCTGTATCTCTCTCTGTATCTCTCTCTGTATCTCTCTCTGTATCTCTCTCTGTATCTCTCTCTGTATCTCTCTCTGTATCTCTCTCTGTATCTCTCTCTGTATCTCTCTCTGTATCTCTCTCTGTATCTCTCTCTGTATCTCTCTCTGTATCTCTCTCTGTATCTCTCTCTGTATCTCTCTCTGTATCTCTCTCTGTATCTCTCTCTGTATCTCTCTCTGTATCTCTCTCTGTATCTCTCTCTGTATCTCTCTCTGTATCTCTCTCTGTATCTCTCTCTGTATCTCTCTCTGTATCTCTCTCTGTATCTCTCTCTGTATCTCTCTCTGTATCTCTCTCTGTATCTCTCTTTGTATCTCTCACAGGTACACGTAAGTGAAGTTATCATACATAGTATAAATTACCTAGGATAACCCAAAATTTCCAGACAAAGTGCTATACAGTGGCTCTGTGCTCCAGTGCCCTAAATTAATAATAATATTAATAATTAATTATTATTATTATTACAATAATACATATGTACTAATAATAATATTATTATTAAATTATTTTATAATAATCGTGTCCACTCATTACTTACCTTAAAATATCTGTAGTCTTAATGTAGAGTGAGATGCGAGTAAACAAGATTAAATGAATAAACGGGAGAGAGAATGAGTGTAGAAGCTTCACGAGTTATGTAAACAAACGTTGTTATTGTTGTTTTGTTACCAGCCCGGACACGAGTGGTTTTTGTTCACTCTGTCAAGCCGACCAGAAAAACATCTCATATTTGTTAATTTATGTGTTTATATGTTTATATGTTATGTAGCATGTTTATTATATAATTTTGAAAAAAAAATCTTAATGTGCCTCAGTGATTATTATTGAGTTATTATCACTATTAATATGGCATCTTCAAGACCAATTACACTGAAGAATTGAGCCACTAATGCAACATATGGGAATCTTTATTGAAGAAACGTTTTGCCACACAGTGGCTTCATCAGTCCAATACAAAGTAGAAATGGGTAAGTTTGAGGTAATCAGTCCCTCAACCTGGAATCGATGTGTTCAGTCCATCACTCTTGTAAGAAATGCAGCATAGGGCCAGAGAGGTGGCTTATATACTGCAGTCAGATGAGGTGAAGCAGGAGGAGGTGGGATCACAGTGGGACCTGCCACTAGTGTAAGTAGGTCGTCGTCCAAAGGTTGGGCAAGCGTTAAGTCTTTGTATCAAGATCCCATGATGTTGCAGTGTCTGACAGATGTGACTTGATGAGCTGTTGGAGTGTGAGCAAGGTAATATTTTGTGAATGGATTCAGGGAAACCAGTTAACTGGACTTGAGTCCTGGAGGTGAAAATACAGTGCCTGCAGTCCAAAGGAGGGGTTTGAGATACTTGTTGTTTAGTGGGATATCTAAACTGTTATATCTGTGTGCCTCTGGCATGCAGATAGAAGTAGGAGTGTATTATGTACCAATGTTTTCATAAAGTAATAGAAATTTATAAGATAGCCAAGTGAATAATGTGAATGTGTCACACATTCAAAATGGAAATAAAAAAAATTATGCTAACCTTTGGTAGGATATTTTTTATATAAATTGGTGCTTCACCACCAGCTGGGTTATCTCTTGTAGTTATGGAAAACCCAAGACCATGTGGTCCTTTGGTAAGATGCACAGTCACCTTACGCCCTAATTTTCTAGTATTACTTTGAAGGATAACTGCTTGCGTTCGGGATGATAGAGATGCTGGAGGAACTTTCCTGGTGGGCATAACACTAGCCACTTTTGCACCACCTACCACTGGAAAAAACAAGAAAATGCATAGTTCAGGTGCATTAGGATGATCAAGTTGAGCATTTCTGTCTCTAATTTCAGTGCTACTTTCTAAATAAAATCTCCAGACCCACTTTCATAGTTTACTATACATTTTACAATATAATGTAATTGAAACACTGCAGAATAATTATAATCTAATATAAAACCTACAAAGATAACTTTTTTTAAACAAGTTTCTTACATCTCTCCTCTCCTTCAACAAGCTCATCTGAAGACAATGTTAAAGATCCTTGGTGATGGTGGTTAGTGTCTCGGAGGTCTGGTCTTTTTATTACTTGCAGACGAAGTTCAGGGGTTAACATGGCATCTTTAAAAATTTCTTGAGCCCTGGTAAGAAGAGTTTATAAAAAAAAATTACTTTTGAGAAACAGTACAGGTCGAGTATCCCTTATATGAAATGCTTAGAGCCAATATGTCTTGGATTTCAGAATATAACGAGTTTGGGGATGGGACCCAAGTTGAATCACAAAAGCCATTTGTGTTTCACACAGAGCTTATGCAAGCTGTTGAGGTAGTTTGGACATTTAAGAGAGGATGGAGTGAAATAGGATGACTTGGAGGGTGTATAAATCTGTAGTGGAGGGAGGGCAGAGTAGGGGTCACCTTAAGAAAGGTTGGAGGGAGGGGGTAAAAGGTTGTTTTGTGTGCGAGGGGTTTGGACATCCAGCAGGCATGAGTGAGCATGTTCGATAGGAGTGAAGGCAAATGGTGTTTTGGAACTTGACAAGCTGTTAGAGTGAGGTGTGTTGGTGTGAAGGGATTCAGGGAAACTGGTTAGCCAGACTTGAGTCCTGGGGGTAGGAAGTACAGTGCCTGTACTCTGTAGGAGGGATGTGGATATCTGCAGTTTGGAGGGGCATGTGAACTGTAGCATTCATACACCTCTGGCAATAGTGTGATGAAGTGAATAATGGTGAAAATGTTTCTTTCTTGGGTTGCCCTACATCAGTGGGACACAGTGGTAAAAAAAAAAGACATCTTATACACACAGCCTGAAGGTAGTTTCATACAATATTTTTCAATAAAAAAAGCAACATAGCAGCACTGGTAGAATACCTGCATCAGTGCTTTTAAAAAAAAAAGCAAGTTTTCATTCTCCACATAAGATACTGTGTTTTGATTAAGAGGCTACTGCACACTGGTTTTTTCTTATCACTGTTACCCATAGGGGTATCTTCAGGCCTTTTTGACCTTTTCAACAATATTTTCCCACCATAGAGCAGAGAATAAGAGCAAAAATGTGGTAATCACAGTGAGTAATGTACAGGGGTCAAGTAGTGATGACTGTTGATAAACTGGTGCCATCAGTGTCAGAGCCCCACACAGTATGTGATGTCACATGTCACAACTGTTTGGGTACACAGAGACCTGCGCAACACCTGGGAACCTCCCCAGGATAATACTAATGGAATTTCCATTAGTAACATGATGTCAGCGCTTGAAAAAAAATTAGAATTTCAGAATTTATCGAATTTCAGAATTTCGGATAAGGGATTCACAACCTGTATTTATATTAAAATGGAGAAAAACATAAGAAGAAAAATATTTTAAATGTTTTAACATCATGTCACATGGCACTATTAAGAAAATCTAAATTCACCATATAAAATAATTTCATAAAAGTATAGCTTACTTCTGGAATGTTATATTATTTAGAGGTTTTCCATTGATTTCTATAATTCTATCATGAACTTCTATTCTACCATCCCGTGCTATTCTTCCACCCGACTCCACACCTTCCACCAGCAGACCTTGGTCATGACCTCTGCCATCTGTACTAGGAATCACATGGATTCCTAGAGGACCTCTGTCATTGCTTAGCACCACCAACATGCTGGAATACATAATGTTTAAAAATTATCATTTTGCAAAGTAAGAATTATCAATGTAACAGAGTAAAGCCTCTCATTAACGGACCTATTGTTAACAGATTTCAGCAATTTCAGACAAAAAAAATTGGCCAGACTAATGTTGGGAGCATCATCAGTCTGTAATTCCAGATTTTGTCTATATATAGAGAGCATCCAGTTATCTTCTGAAGCATCGGACAATCCAATGATTCTGATAATTATCAAGTATGAGCCAGAGCAACCATATCCAGGACGTCTGCTTTTATCATTCCCTGAGCCATATGCCTCCTGCAGCAGTTTACTGTTTGTGCTCACTCAGTCTCCAACTTTCCTTGGATTTGGTGTTGTGTGAATTTATTAACAAGAGGAAATGTGTGGCTCTCAGTGTTAAACAAAAACTTTAACTAATAAAGAGGGTTGAGTCTGACATCTTAGTGGCATGAGTATGTGAGAAATATGGAAATAAACAGTGTCTGATAATGTAGAAGCAAGGACAAATTTACAGACTATGCTCTTGAGTTTAGTGCAGATGCTAGCCATAAAGCATATGAAAATGGTCAATGATAAAAAGCTTGAAGAAGCAATGCATAAATGTTATGTTCAACAATGTTCTGTTAATGTTCATAGTGTTAAATAAAGTTATTCTGAATCATTACTATCGATCATAGCCCTTTACACACCTCTCTAACGTGAAACAGTAAGTAAAATTACTGTAAATGATACACAGTGCAATAAAATTACTACACAGTAGTGCTATACTGTAATACTACAGGTTACTTTACCCATATTCTTAGTATCCAGTTATCTTCTGGGTCAGCGGACCAAGTCCGTTGGTTCAGAAGACAACCAGATAAACATGAAAAATAAATTTCATTATTCAAAAGTTTCAGACAATCAGCATTATTGTACACCCCCTCCCCTTCCCTACTAGTCCGTTAATTAGAGGGTTCATTGTAATTGTAACCTCAACTTAGCAGGTATAAGCATACACCAACATGACACAGATAAAACACACATGAACTTACATATTATTGGAGTCATCATGAGAAGGATTTCGGGAGTGTAATGGTGAGGAGGCTGACCCTCCAAGGGGCTCTCTTCGCCTCCCTTCACTTACAGCCAAGGCTTTGTCTGCTGCATCTGCCCATCGAGCCATTGCAGGGTTGTCAGACAGTACCTGCACATAGAGACACTTCTGTTTTCAACATAGCTTTCTGACACCATACAAGATATGTGCTACTAAGTATAAATTTTCAAATGTTAATTAATAGCATTTTACAAAGTGTTCACCTAAACACATTAAACCTTTCCTACTGTATGGAGAAGAATTTGAGTAGCAACATTTCTTATTATGAAATGCTTAAGACCAAAAAGAAGCATTAAACAGGACCTTCCCTTGAGTCAGGTTTGCTTATTTTACCTGTAAAGTGCAAACTTTTTGGCTATTCAACACTTTAAACACAGTCCATTTCTAATATTATTAAATTTATAGAATTATCATCAACCTGCTACTGTTGTGACCAGTTTACTATCACATTACATAACTAACAATCACAGTTAAATTTACTATTCAAAATCTCTCTTTCACATACCGCTATGAATATTCATAATTTGTTCAATGTCATTGGCTGTCAGCAAATTAAATCTAGACAAAAAGGGAAACATCCCCACCATATATGTCAAAAGAGATGCTAGGGCCTTAGTCAGATAAGCACCCTGTGGAGCGAGTTGCAGCCCTCCTGTTACCAGTCCAGGCGAGTACAGCTAAGGAGCAAGTCTGTCTTCCACTGAATAACCAGCATAATACATAAAATGAATTTTCTACAAACACACCACTTCAGCCTGTCTTCCTAGATTTTCTAATCTTGATACTGTAGCCTCACAGATTCTCACTCATGCATTCTATATTTACCTTTAAGGTTGCTTATCTGCTTTAAAGCAAAATTTAGAATGCCAACACAACCATTCCAATCCCATATTTGTAACCTGGTTACTGTATTATCTTTATATTTGCTAAAATATTAAATAAGGGCCTAAGTATGATGTCACTAAAGTAAGAGACTTGTAAGGTTTTGACTTTGTTATGCTTAAGGAGAAAAACCTAGTAAGAGGCTATGTAATATTTATTTTCCATTTGCATCTTATGAAATCCTACCATAACATACGGAAGAATGCATTTGAGATACAAGGTGTTCCAATATTCTTAAACTTTTAGGAAGTAATAACATCAACATTACCTCATTTCTAACTTGAAATAGGTGACAGGCTGGGATGTGGTATAACAGTAAAATTATGTATGTTTAAGAAGCTTGACATTAAAATGTAATACTGAACAATTATTTGTATCAAAATTTTTAAATGTAATACTGTACAATTATTTGTATCAGAGTAATTTTTTAAATAAAGTTAATGATAAGCTAGCTTGTGGCAAAGTATTGTGGTACCTTGACTTACGAGTTTAATTCGCTCCGTGACTCAGCTCGTAACTTAATTTGCTCATATATCAAATCAATTCTCCCCATTGAATTTAACTGAAATGCCATTAAGCCATTCCAGCCCCCAAACAACCACCCCAATTTTTTATGTTTTTTTAAACAAGAAAAATGTATTAAAAAATAAGAAATTATTTTTGCCTTTTTTGCCAGGTCCCAGCAACATTTTAGAAATGGTGGAGTATAATGAAACTCCTTGAAACACAGTGTAAGATATCGCTCCACTACCAATGGAGTGACACTCGTGGAGTGACATTTAATGATCATGCACTGCCTTTATTTTTCACTGTTATACATTAACATGTCTGGCTATCTGTATCTGTCTGTCTGTATCTGTCTGTATCTGTCTGTATCTGTCTGTCTGTATCTGTCTGTATCTGTCTGTCTGTATCTGTCTGTCTGTATCTGTCTGTATCTGTCTGTCTGTATCTGTCTGTATCTGTCTGTCTGTATCTGTCTGTATCTGTCTGTCTGTATCTGTCTGTATCTGTCTGTCTGTATCTGTCTATCTGTATCTGTCACTCCACTGCCAATGGAGTGTCACTCATGGAGTGACATTTGATTATCATGCACTGCCTTGGAATTATTTTTCACTGTTACAAATAAACATGTCTGTATTTGTTTATGTCTATCTGTTTCTATCTGTATTTGTCTATCTGTCTGTTTAGCTCGATGTTTATCTCTGTCTCTACTTATCTGTCTTTCTGTCTGCCTGAGTTTCTATCTTCCTCTCTCTCTACTTGTCTCTGTCTCAGAGAGCCACTCATGAACCAACAGGTATTACACATGATGCAGAGTCGGTCATGTCTGATTCCTGAACAAGTGAAAATGTGTATTACTTGCCAGTCAGGCTTATTATGCCTTATATCTCCAAGCATAGCATAGCACTTTGGTCTGGATTTTTTGGGTTATCCTAGGTAATTTATGCTATGTATAGCTGTATTTGTGTGTACCTGTGAGATAGAGACAGACAGAGATAGACACACAGATAGATACAGACAGACAGAAGGAGATAAAGTCAGCCAAAGCAAATCAGCCAGCCAGCCAGCCAGCTGGCCACCCAACCAGATGGCCTGCTGAACATGTATTACGCATGTTCCAGAATGGTTTCTCTTTACTTAGGGTATACATTATAGTAGAACATTCTGGCAGGATGACACTACCATTGGTATCAAAATTGAAAGGAGGTTACACATTGGTTATTATCGAGGTCTTTGATATTTCCTCTCTCCTGCGAGTGGCAGCATATCTGAAGCTCACTCTTAACTCAGATTTTGGCTCGCAACTCAAAGCAGAAAATTGACCGAGTGACGGCTCATAACTCTGAGAACTCGTAAGTTGGGGCACTCTCAAGTTGAGGTACCACTGTAAATTTACAAATAATAATCAGTCTTTAATTCACTGATTAAACCACAAAATTTTCTTTGATAACCACAGTTTGATACTTTCCTTGGTAAATGTGTTCTTATTTTACCAAGTCGTTACTTACTTTTAAAACTGATTTATCAATACTATATATTCTCAGGCATAACCCCAACCAGTGCAGAAGTTAATCCCCAACGTTTCTGCCAAATAATTAATTTTTCATATGCTGTATCTTATGTACAAGTCTACTCTACTTTTTTGAGATTTTTCCACAGGGTCGCATGGTTCTAATTTGAAATATACTCCAGACAAAATCTGAAGAAATAAAACAATGAAAATGCAAAGAGCTCTGAAAACTTCAAAATATCTGACAAAAGAGGCATATTCAGCCCAAATACTTGCTAACTCTAAGAACAAAGGTTCAGTACAGTAGGTCTTGTTCATGTTAGGTAAGTGTTACTCACATTAAACTATTACAGAACATCTATTCAGTGAGTCTGTCTTCTCATGCCAGGCAGGGCCTACTCACACTGCAACAAGCCTACTGGTTCATGCCAGGCAAACCCCACTTACATCAAACTATTCCCATCCCATCTTTTGCCAAATTCACTTCTTCCTTCTTTTCTTTTGTTGTGTACTTGTATAGAGGCACTCTCACCAATTATCTTATCATTTCCAACAAAATGCAATAACCTGAAATCACAACACACATTCTCATTAACAGTCAGTATATCAAAAACACTGATAGTTTGCTTATGTTCAAATTAATTTATGGTGGGAACTACAGTGCTTGCACTCTAAAGGAGGGGTTTGGTATATCTGCTGTTTAGAGTGACACCTAAACTGTTGTATCTGCAAGACAGTGACAGTGTGAATGATGGCAAATGTGTTTCTTTTACAAGCCACCCTGCCTTGGTGGGAGAAGGCCAACGTATTTAAAAAAATTCATGTATTATTATAATCAAAAAGAAGTGCTGAACCAAAGTTCATGTACAAATTGGTAAAGAAGTGTAGATTCATTATTTATGTTGTCCTGTTTGTTGGTACAGTATCCATTCAAGTCTATTAAATGTCAGCAGTTGGTGGATGGAGGAGGGCAAGGATGGCTAGCCATAGGGGGAGAGAACTGGGGAACAGGCAGATGACATTTTCTCTCTCCATGCAATTACCTTCAGCACTCTATCAAACCGTAATTAACGGAACTAATATTTTCGGACATCCTATGCATTTTATATTTATAAAGAAATAAAATATTAGTCATGAGGATGGAAATAATGGCCAATCTAGCAACTCTACAGTGAATCCTTGTTTTTTGCTTCTGTTGTTCTATAAAGGCTACAACAGCTTATGCCATATGTGCCCTACTACCAGAAATCTGGTGAATTTATTCCCCAAATTGGGGTGAGTAACAGAGAGGAAACAAATTTCCTCCAAAAAAGAAGCAGGAAAAGTTATGTTCCTATTCAAATCAACCACACAGAGCCAGACACCCATTCCTGACCCTTACTCTAACGACAGGCTTTTCCCAAACCTGCAAGAGCTGATGTATGATGCAACAACCAACTACTGCAAGCTGTGTATGAGTATAAGCATCCTATGGATAAGTTATGCTTTTCTCATTGCAGTAAATTATGCATGCATGTTAAAAATAATTAATGTCAACCTAGCCTAGGCCTGGTCAAGGACTGGGCTGTTGGGGCACTGACCCCCAGAACACCCTCTAGGTAGGTGGGTAACTGAACCAAACATGAATGATAAATTACAAGTAATAATCCTCCCTCCTAAGGAGGGAAGATTACTTGTAGCAGAGCTGGTGTGGGCCTTCCTGGAGCCTGACTATGATATCTTAAGACTATCTCCAGTATCAAGTTTGTGAGAAATGGGAGAGTAGCTGTGATACCTTAACACAGGTTCTCTGGTTTGTGCTGCAGTACCTAATGTTAGTTCCCCAATACCTTCACACCCTAGTTCTGTTAAGGGACTAGCCTCTATAGAGACCATTTGGTGCATGTTCCAATGGGAGGTGACCTCTAGCCAGAAGTTACGGGGGAGAGGGACAGAGGCCTTTATAAACTCAGGGAAAAGTAACCAGAAAGACTGAGAAAAGCTCTTCCAGGTGCACAGCTGGGAGGCTGTGAGAGCTGACTTGGTGAGGAGCCTTGGTTGGGCACAGACCTGTAGCTCTGTGTGAGGACTTGATAGCTGGATTCAGTACGAGGTCTCCTAAGAATTCTACCTTATACTTTAAGTTAATATTCCATTCCGAATGCCAATTGTATTCCCCAGTCTCAATATTCTTGCACTACCCTAGTTATCTTAG